ACCCTAAGCAGACATTCCTCATTTTCATGCTCCCAGGGAAGGAAACCACCGCCACCCCTGCTCTCGAGGCAGCCCGAGGTAGAGTAATGGCCATATCCCAGCTGCCTGTTCAAAAGTGGCCTCATCCTGTATATGCCAGAGTTATTTCTTTGCCTGCCGAAGTCCTTTCCGATTGATGGCTGTAGTAAGACTAAGCAGGAAGGAAGCCTTTCAGGGCTGGAGATGGAGAAATGCTGTGTAGACCTGATGTCTACTTGCCCCTTTCTCCCCCGCACCCCCCAGCTCTGTCTTGCAGCAACACTGCCCTTCCCCAGGAGAGGAGGCACAAGCAGGAGACAGCAGGGACAGGAAATGAACCCCAAGCCATGTCCCAGGTGAGTTGGTTTTTCCTGTCTCCTCTCTGAAAGGCACCCTTGCTTTTCAAGACTCAGTAATGTTGATTTCCTTTTAAAAAATTTTTAGTTTAAGAGACGTGTCCTAGGAGTTGGTTCCCATTTCCTGGCATCCTGGTGATGGGCTACAGAGATGGCCCAGGGCTTCTTTCCCCCTTCCTCTTTGTCCCATTCTTCAAAGGCGAAGGGATTCAGCTCCTCCCTGTGCCACTTTTCTCCGAGGGGACTCGGAGAAAGGTACTCCTCGTGGAAAACATGGCAGCTCTTTGTGCTGTACCTGCTTTATTTGATGTCCACTTCCTGCCAGCCTCTGGAGAAACAGATGGCCAAGCCCCAGTCCCTGCTAGGAGCTCGCAGCCTGTTGGTGGAAAACACAGAGCAAAAAGGTTCTAGACTGCAAGTGCTGGGACTGAGTATTGTGACAGTGGCTGGAAGGAGCTCTTGGTTTCTGTCCGCCCTGGGGGTAGGTTACAGTGTTTACCGACAGGTGATTTTTGAGCCATTTTGAAGGGAGAGGCATTCTCTAGCATGCAGAAGGTGGAAGAGCAGCATTTTCAGTGCAACGTGAAAGGTTTTTTCCCCACTGATTATGTGGCTCCTTAAAGTGTTAATAGTTTTGTTTGTTAGCTGTATCCCATAAATATATGTGGCTATCTTGTAAACATACAAATCGGGCTCCAGTTGTCCCACCCAAACTGCTTTTAAGGAGGTTAAGAGTGATCCCACATTGCCACCTGGAGTACTCAGTTCTTAGTCTTTTTTGACTCTTTGGTACTTGAAATAGCTCAGAGGTTGGCAAGTCATCCAGGTCTAGGGCTAGGTAGCAAATCTTTTAGGCTCTAAGGGCCATAAGGTCTCTGCTGCAGCTATTCTTCTCTGCCCCCCAGAACTAAAGCAGCCCCGGAGCGGGGAGGCCAACCTCTGAAATAGGTCATCCCTGGCCCTCCAATGGGACCTTTTTCCTCCTTAGCTTCTGGGATGCCACATGCCTCTGGCTTTCTTCCACTTTCCTGACCTCATTTTTTGCTGCTGGTTCCTCCTCATCACCCTGACTCGTAACTCTCCTTGTCTGTCCACACCTTACCCTGTTCTTGTCTATAAAAATGAACAATGTGCTGGCTTCTCCCAAATTCACTTTTCCAGCCCAGACCTCTCCTGCGAACTCCAGACCTTTGTATCCACTTGGAGGAGTCAAGTTGGATACAAATGAAACTTAACCACCTCCAGACGCAAATTCCTGAGATTCTCCCCCAAACCCACTCCTCCGGCAGTTGTCTCTGATCCAGACCGTGGTAGAATCATGCTGTCATTCACTCTGGCTGTAAACCTTGGCACCATCCTTGTCTCCTTTCTCCCTCATCTCCTGTATTTGATGTGTTTGCAAGTCCTGTCAGCACCATTTTAAATCATATTCAGAATCTGGGGCTAACCTCCCATCCCCACCACTGCCGCCTCGGTCCTCGTTACCTTACTGTTGGCCTCTAGACTCCTCTGCTGTGACCTGCTTCTCCTGAGGCTCCCTGAGGTCACTTCCCCACACAGCAGCCACAAGGGTCTGTTCTAACTGCTCTGTCACTCTCTGCTCAAAACCCCCCCAGTGGCTTCCCTGAAGGAAGCCAGAATACTTAATGTGATCTACAGGGCCTGTCCCCTTTGGCTCTGACATTGATGACACGCTCCCATCACTCACTTTGCTTGCTCCAAAATTGTCTTCTCATTTTCCTGATCACCCTATATGAAATTTCAAGCCTTTTACCCAGATCTTTATATCCCTCATCCCTGTTTTACTTTTCATAACTCTTAGCACTTCCCAACATCCCCTATTTTGTCTGCTTTTCTCTTGTCTGATTCCTTTACTGCAAAGTACACCTGACACAGGCAGGGATTTGAGACAGTTTTGCCCCAGTGCCTGATAGAGAAAATACTTGTTGGATGCATATTTGAATATAGTCTTAAAGTTCTCTTGTAGTTAATGTCTTGCTAATTTGATATAGTATTATGGTAATCGTTTTTATACCTGAAATGTGCTTTATCCTAGTTATTTCCTAGGAATATATTTGCAGCAGTTTTTATTACATTTGGGGTTAAAGTTAACTAAACTTAAATCAGAATACTTTTACAAGTATATTTGGGTGGAACAGCAATAGGGCCACAAAAGCTAGAATTCATGCCTTAGAAAAAAGTAAACTTCCCCCAAAATAACCCAGAAAGCATTACCAATTTTTTAGTTGTGTGCTTTCAAATTAACTAAATTGAATTGGAAAAAAAAAAAATTTCTTTCATGCACTTTTTTCCTGTAAAATGCTTTTTATTCAGTTCTTCCTGTAAAACATGAACACAGTATTTTTCTGTAAGGATGGAGTTGCTTTTGTTTTTTGTTCGTTGTTTTTAATGTCTATGTTTCATCTTTTTTGAGTGAGAGAGCACCAAATTAAATTCTTACATCAGGAGCAGATTCTGTACCTGTGTGTTTTCTCTGTGCTATAGTATGACATTGTGAGGCCCACTTGGAAATCTCCACACCTACATGGTAGCAACAGGAATAAAAATATGACCTGCACATTTGAGAGTGTTTTGTATCGCTTGAATGAAGCAGATTGGACCAGACATTAATTAGAGAAAGTGTGTTTTGCTTGAAAGCCGTGTTTTCCAGTGGATCTCGTTCTTCTGTCAAGGTGAAAGGACAGCAAGCATCCTTGCTGTTGTCTGAATGGAACCTTTGAAGGTGGCTTGGCAGTCACAGGTGTGGGCTATGGAGCCAGACACCTGGGTTCAGATGTTTGCTCTGGCACCTAATTGCTGTGCGGCCTGAGGCAATTTAAATGACACATTTTCTTTGTAAAAATGCAAATAGTACTTGCCTCATGACTCTTCTAGGGGTTAATTAAGTTAATACGTGCAAGGTGCCTGGCACGTGGTAAGAACTCAGTAAGTGTTACCTGTCAGCATTTCATGTCATCATGATTGTTTTAGGTGATACACATTAACAAAACTACATAACATAGGACAGAAGTAGGCAAAATTGTCCTATGGGCCACATCTGGCCCATCAGCTCTTTTTGTCTAGCTCACGAGCTACAGATGGTTTTTACATTTTTCAGTGGTTGAAAATCTTCAAAAGAAGAACGATATTTTATGACGTGAAAGTTATATGAAATTCTCATTTTGTGTTCGTGAGTAGAGTCTCCGTGGAACACAGCCCATGCCTCATTTACATAACGTCTGTGGCAGCATTTCTGCTTCACTGGCATATTCACTAAAGCATTGACTCTCCCCCCTTTTACAGAAAGACTTTGCTGACCTTTGAGGTAGAGGTTCAGAGCGAGGACTGTGGAGCCAGGCTGCCAGCATCAGATCTGGCTCTGCGGTGGGCTCAGGTTACAGCTGTTGCCTCACCTGGACAATGGGAAGGTGATAACACCGACTGTTGGGGTTGTTGTGTGTCTAGTATGTTGGGCCATAGCTGTAATTGTTATTATTTACAGTAAAAGATTTGCAAACAAAAAAGTCATTGATTATATGAATAACTGACAAAACGAGGGAACACATACTGTTGACAGGTCTCTCTTGAGCATCGGATTAGAGTGGTGGAGAAGGGGACATTTCTTATTAAGAAAACATAATCAGAACCACAAAAACCGAGTTGCCAAGTATAAGAAAAAGTTTCAGCCTGTATTCTTCCTTCTAGGAGCACCCACAGTCAGTTTTCTTACCAATGACAGTGGTAATAAATGGTAGAAAAGTGGGCATCATTTTCTCTGCATCAGTAAACTTCAAAGTTCTTGTAAAGATACTATAAATATAGTTTAAAGATTTTTAAAAGGTGGTATAATTGGTGAAGGATATCTGAAAAATATTTGGGATATTTGAATATTTAAAAAAAAATAGTGCAAGACTTGCCAACTGACAGTCATGCAATTAGATCTGTAAGACTGGAACCTGTGAAAGCCCATCTTCTACAGTTGGGTCAGAAACATAGAAGCAGCCTGTGTGTGAGCATCTGTATCTTTGAACATAGCTTAAAACAGTTGCATTAACATGTTTTTTGTTTTTAAGTCATTTTATTAAAGTATGATTGACATGTAAAAAGCACATTTTTAATGTATACAACTAGATGAGTTTGAGGATAAGTTACACTGTGAAACCATCACCACCATCAAAATTATAACCTTATCCATCACCTCCCAAAGTTTCCTCCCAGTTTTTATTGTTTCTGGTAGTAAGATCTACCCTCTTAGCAAATTTTCAGTATATAATACAGTATTGCTTGCCATAAGCACTGTGCTGTATAGAAAATCTCCAGAACATGTTCATTGTGCAACTGGAAGTTTGTACCTTTGACCATTGCTTCCTCACTTCTTCCCGACCCCTGGCAACCTCTATTCTACTTTCTGCTTCTAGGAATTTGACTATTTTAGATTCCACATTTAAGTGAGATCATGTAGTAGTTGTCTTTCTGTCTGGCTTATTTCACTTAACTTATGCATTGAAACATTAGAGTTTCAGTATACTTGTGGGTGTCCGCTGTGCAGAATCTTGCACAGTTTTCAAAACCAAAGGCATTTAACAAATTGCTGGTGTAACATGTGGATCAATAACAGATCAGTATGAACAGCACGGAGAGCTGGAACTGATTCTTTCCTACAAGATGAACACTCCTGCCAGTTATTCAGCCCATAGATCAGTTGCCCTGCTTTCATGGCCAGATGCTCCACCTTGCAAAATGACTGTTGCGAACCAACCACATTTGTTTTGGACTAGCTCGCTCAGGTGGGCACGGGAGTACCTCTTTTGATCAAAGCTCACACTAAGTTCTTGGCTGTTTCCTGCAAGTATCACCAAGCATTTTATTTTGTTTTATTTATTTTTTTAATAAACACTCAACATTTGGTGAACACCACAAGTCAAACAGAAAAATTTAGAACTCTGTTTGGAGATTCATGTTCATGTTTTGAGGTTCATGCCCAGGTTTATTTTCCCATTTGTTGTGTTGATCCAGGCCCTTCAAACATCCTCATGTTAAACACTGTGCATGGAACAGTTTACTTTTGTTATGTATCATTTTGAATGATGTCAAATATTTTTCTTGTGTGTACCTCCTTTTACCTGCACAGAATTGCCAGTTCCCTAAAGGCAGGGACTGTCTCCATATTTTTCTCTCTTTTCTGGATTTTATGACATAATGAGTCCAACTGTCCTGTAATTAACTAGATATCCAGATCACTAGACATTATTCTTTCCACGTATATTCTCTTACCCAAAATGAAGAAGAGGTAACCCTCAGTCCCCTATGTGAGGCTTCCATGACAAAGTACTACAGACTGGGAGGCCTAAACAGAGATTTCTTTTCTCACAGTTCTGGTGGCTAGAAGTTCAAGATCAAGGTGTTAGTATGTTTGGTTTCTCCTGGGGCCTCCCTCTGCTTCTCGCTGTGCCCTCATGTGGCCTTTTCTCTGTGTGGCCCCATTCTTGGTGTTTCTCTTCTTCGAAAGATACCAGTCAGATTGGAATAGGGCCCCACCATATGACTTCATTTAACTTTTTATTACCTCTTTTAAGGCCCTATCTCCAAATACAGTCACATTCGGAGGTACCAGAGTTTAGGACTTCAACACATGAATTTGAGGGACACAGTTCAGTCCATAAAAACCCCAGTTGTGATAGAATTTGGTTTTGTCCTTACAGAGCTTGGTGACATTTGGGGATGTGGCTGTGGATTTCTCCCAGGAGGAGTGGGAGCGGCTGAGCTCTGACCAACGGGACCTGTACAGGCGTGTGATGCTGGAGAACTACAGGAACCTGGTGTCGCTGGGTGAGAGTGTCCTCGCCCCTTCTCTCACCTTCCCCTTGTCTGCCACCGAAACCCAGAAGTCCTACTCCTTTAGCAAGGCTCACACTAGCCTTCTCCCATCAAGCCAGGGCCCCTGCATCTCAAATCTGGACAGACCAACAGCGTGACCCTGTCTTGTTTCATTTTATGTATTTAGGACTTTGCTTCTCTAAGCCCGACATAATCTCTTCATTGGAACAAAGGAAAGAGCTCTGGATGGCCAAGAGAGAGGTGACCAGAGGCCAGTGTCCAGGTGAGCGTGGGGTGTCAGGTGGGGTGAAGCCACTGCCGGTCACAGCTCAGCAACCTCAGATGTACAGGACTATCAACAGACTCTTCCTAAGCTCTGGGCCCAGAAGGCAAATGAAATCCTCTTGAGAATGGACCGCCCACGTGTGCATCCCCCCTGTCTGTCCTCTCCAGCTTTGCTCCCCTCCCTCTAAACATAACTTCATTTGCTCTCCTCTGGGTCCCAATTCCTAGCTCCTGCTCTGACCCATTGTCATTCAGACGTATATATCATCTTCGTTCTTTACAAAATCTTTACCTGATTTTGATGTCATTTTTATTGTCTTATTTCTCTTTGATTAATTAACTGGTTTATGAAGTTATTTTTTACTTTTATTTTTCAAATACAGTTGACATTCAATATCAAATTAGTTGTAGGAGTCTAGCACAATGGCTAGACATTTATATAATTTACAAAGTGATTCCCCGCAATAAGTGTAGTCCCCGCCTGGCACCATACAGAGTTATTACAATATTTTTGACTATATTTCCTGTGCTGTATTTTACATCCCCATGGCTATTTTGTAACATTTGTGAACTTCTTTTAACTGATTTTTACTGAGTGTCACCTTTGAGTAAGGCTATTAGGTACTGATTGGTAAGATGAGTGCAGGCCACTAAAGAATTAACCATCTCACCTGCAACTGATATAAAATAATATAGAATGTCAATTGTAATTGAAAAAAAAAAACGTTATTAAAGAATTAACCGTTTCAGAGGGGAGATAAGACATATCTGTACGTACCTTAAATAGAAACTGCTGTTCCCTGTATGGTAAGTGTAAATAGGTACTCAAGAGGAAAAAGAAAATTCATTCCCAGTTTTAAGCAGGGTAATGAGAGTAGAGCCTTTAGCAGAAACATTTGAATGAGAACAAAGAGATTGGTAGGTTAGGAGACGAGTTTGACTTTGGCCATAACTGATTTAGCATTCAAGTGGACTTCCCAGTGCAGACAGGCAGTGTGCAGTCAGGTGATTGGCTCTTGAAGAAAAGAACACTGATTTTGATTGATGGAATATTCTTTCAGATATTGTGATAATATTTATACCACTGGGGTATACAGAGCTTTCAACCACAATTATTTCTGGAACAGCAAATTACTCAAGTAAGATGAGGAATCAGAATTAAAGACTTCTGTTGGAGGTTTCTATAATAGGAAATAACAAGAATTTCTAAAGACTTGAGAATTTTGTAAGAGCTTACTGTTGAAATCATACTTCAAAGGAAAAGTTAGTATTGACAGAACAGAACAGGCTGCTTAGAGTTACAAAATACAATGGCTCACGTGATCAGCGTGTAGCATAAGAGAACTGAAATGGTGTTTCTGAGAACATTTTCTATTTAACATTATATTAAATCACGTTTTTATTAGCATTGTAATAATGGCACATTGCACTAGAGAAGAAATTTTTGCTGGATGAAATGGAGAGTCAAAGCAAGTTTTACTGAATAAGCGGAAATGAGGATCATAGCATTTTCTTGTGTAGCCTACCCTCCCCTCTTCGTCTATATTTGCCACATTTTAGATTTAAATCTTTGTGAGCTCTCTTATATTTTAGTCCTCCATTTATGTTTTCAGTTTCCTGGTAAAAGCATAATATACACTGTTTGGTTGACTTTTAGGTGAGAAAGCTGGTATTGTATCAGAGTTAAAGCTACATAAATTGGGGAATGTAAGGTCAGTTGGTCATATGGAAAAGTTTTCAAAATGATAGGCTTTTCTGAAGATTTTAATTCATCTGATTACATTTGGGAAGTTTTCTTCACACTAATACAGAATGAAAGCACTCTTTACTTTCTTCCTGTCTTCCAGACTGGAAGGCTGTGCCGGAGGGCGAGGAGTTACCTCCAAAGAAGGATTTGTGTAGAGAAGAGTTGTCCGAGGCCGTGCTCATGGGCAGACTGACTGGCTACAGTTTGGGGTGCTCCATGCTAAGGGAACACTGGGATTATGAGGCTCTATTTGAGAGGCAGCCGGTAAGTCAGGAGACAGATTGCGGGGCGAGGAGTCTGTAGACTTCAAATAATGAGTATCAAGTGTGGGGAAGTTCCGTCATTAGACAATCCACACTGTGTATGAGTTCCTTCTCAGCAGAATTACAAAGTCTCCATGGCAGAAACAGATTCTCCTATTCTTCTGTTCCCACCCCCCACCCCCCAAAACATATGCTGTAACTAAGCCTAGTCATTATGTGACCTAGATCACTTGGAACGTAAGTGACAGAGTGCCTCTTTCACAGCGTGTGGACACAGCCCAGCCTGCCAGAGCCATTGCACGTTCACAAGCATGGTTTGTACAGAAAATGCATTTGTGCCATTTCAGAGCTTGGTGACTATCACGAATATGGCCATAGACTTCTCCCAGCGGCTAGAACCAGCTAAGAGGAGCTTCTGTAAGAATGTGATGTGGGAGAGCCATGACCTGGGGTCAGTAGGTAAGGATGTCCCTGTCCCAAATCTGAATTTATCTTTCCTCCATTTGGAAGTATGTTTGTGTGTGTGTGTGTGTTGGGCTCCCAAGCCCAAAGATAAGAGTTTGCCATTTGTGGAGCTCAAAATTGGTGTCTTCATTAGGCTTGAAGCATCATCGCCTTTGCTGTTCAGTCACTCTTCACTTACCTCTCTGCCTCTTCCTGTCCTAACACTTTTATCTCAAAGCCAAGGAACTGGTTCTCACTTTAAGACTGCCAAGAGCATGACAGAACCCCATGTCTTTCCCACACGTAGGATGCCGCATTTCTAAGCCAGATTTGCTTTCCTTACTGGAGCCAGGGAAAGATTTTTTTGACAGCAGGCTTGTTCTCAGGTGAGTGGGAGGCCTGGCGTGAGACGCCCCCACAGCTTACCATGCAGCCCTTCCCGGGACCAAGTCCTGGTGTGTGAGAGTGGCCTGTACCAAGTCCTCTCAGTCTGGGCAGAAGACAGGTCCGGGCTTTCAGAGTTCTTTCCTCCCCCTCTGCTCCCTCCCCTTGGTGACAGCTCATTCCAGGTAGTGTACCTCCTGTTTCTGGCCACTGGGAAGTGCATCGGCCACTTGGTTCCTTAAGTGACTTTTCCCTGACCTGATACTTCTGGGCCATCTTCCAAAGGTGTACTCTTCTGTGATCGATCAGGCAGCCCGATCACCTCCTTATGCACTCATTCCTATAAGAACCGTGGATCGAAATTTACTTGAGGGCACCACTCTACTTGGCATCAGCAGGCAATTGGAGAAGAGATTCACGCATACCACCAAGCAGTTACTGTAACAGTGGGGGGGTGGGGGAGACGTGCATGGAGTTTGCAGACTCCACCGGGCGTTGCCGGACATAGAGGGGAGGATGCCCAGGAGCTTCCTGGTTTCAGTCTGATCTGGCAGGCAGAAGTCGGGTTGCAGGAAGTAGAGGGTCCCTAGTTTGGTACACAGGGAAGTGAAAGAACTTTCTTTAAAAAAAAAATGGTTTGTAGGAAATGTAATGCTATCACCTGTCTGGAAAAAGAGTAGAAAATCATGACCCATAAACACTGTATGTTAACAAGGCAATTTCAGACCCCTTTTGAGTCATAATAAACACATTTTTAGCATAGTAAGAATTATAATGTGTATTCAGGCAGGCATACAGATGTTTATCACATGGTTCCATGTTGTACATACTTAGGTTACATCACACTTACTGGTGTGAAAAAATACAGTTACAATAGATATCTTGATGTAAGTAAAAATTGCATGTGGGGGATTGCTGTATCCTTCAATATGATGGACATCTGCCAGGTTCTGAAAGTTTTCTTAGCTTTCAGCAGCTCTAGCAATGACTAGATGTATGGGTTTAATTGCATCTTCATAGCATGAGGTATATTGATGAAAATGTTTGCTTTTATTTGGCAAAAGATTATAATCTAAAGTTTTTTTTGTTATGAAAGAGGTTGAATACTTTCCCTAAATTTGGTTATTCTCTTTATCTTTTTATAAAATGTTTCTCATTTATACCCATTTCTGTATCCGTGTCTTAAATGTTTTAATAGTCCCAGTGACTGATGTATTGTCTGGAACTATTTTTCACATGTGGTAATAAGAGCTTTTGTTTTAATCAGGCCTTTTAAAATGGTGATATGTAAAACTTTGAAAATTTCTATGTAGTTTAACATTTTACAATTTTTCCTTTTATTTATATCCTTAGAAACTTGATGCACATAATTCTACTTCATTTTTTAAATGACTATCTAGTATTATAATATATGTGTATATATCATAATTTACTTAACTGACTGACTGTTGTGGACATTTAAACATTTAGGTCTCTTCTAGTTTTTACCTGTAATAAACAGTGGTCCAATTTGTGCATATCTTTTTGCATGATTAGTATTTTAAAAGTTTTATGCATGTAGTGCTATACTCTTGATGAACAATATGTGAGAAACCTGTTTCTGCACATTTTCACCACTAGTATTTGTTTATTTTTGCCAAGTTGTTGGATGAAAATGAGTTTTGTTTTAATTTTTATTTCCTAGATAACTTGTGATGTTGAGAATATATGCATTTAAATGCAGTTAGAGTTCATGTTCTGTAAATGGTAACTTTATAATCGTCACCCACATTTCTATTGGGTCCAACTTCTTTGCCTTCATATAGTATGAATATAAGTCCTGTTTTATAAATGTGATACATTTTTTTCCAGTTTCATGTAGACTGTAAGTTTGCACATGATGTTGCTATATAGTAGTTTACATTGGGTAGTATCATTATGTATAGAAGCATTTACTTTGTTGACTTTTTGTTTCAGTCATAGATTTTTCTTTTTATTAATAGATGTATTATTCCCATTTGTACCATGTGACAGATTTGTTTGGTCTTCTGTTACTTATTCTTTCTTGCTCTCATTTTATTCACGAACACACTGTTAAGTATTCCTATTCATGAATACAGGATGTCCTTCCATTTGTTTAGGTCTTCTTAATTTCATTCAGCAGTGTTTGGTAGTTTTCAGCATACAGCACATCCTTTGGTAAAGTTATCCCTAAATAATTTCTTCTTTTAATGCTGTTTGTCATGGAATTGTTTTCATAATTTCCTTTTTAGATTTTTTCATTCTTAGAGTATAGAAGTACAGCTCATTTTTTGTGTCGATCTTGTATCCTGCTGTTTTGATGAATTAACTTATTAGCTCTAATGAGTTTGCAGATTTTTAAGGATATTCTATATATGTGATTTTATCATCTTCGAATATAGTTTTACTTCTTCTTTTCTAACTTTGATACCTTTTAATTTTTAGTTTTAATTTCTCTGGCTAGAACTTTGAGAACAGTGTTAAGTTGAAATTGTGAAAGCAGACATTCTTGTCTTGTTACTGATCTAAGAAAGGAGGCTTTTAGTATTTAGTTGTCATTTAAAAAAAGAGTTTCTCTTTTTCCCTTTTTAAGATCATCCTTTTCCAGACATTTGTCTCTCTGCATTATCTCCCCATTGCCATTTTCATCTTTAATATTTATTGAGATATAACTACACATGCTCAAGTTTTGGTATATGTTTTAGCAAAAGGATTCCAGACACCTTAACTTTTCCCTATAAACTTAAAGTCTGAGATAAGACATTTTTGTTAGGTAGTATATGTGAACATAATTAAATATAATATTAATAGTTACCATTATTATGAAAACAGTCTCTTCAAAATGAGAAATTGCATGGCCCTATCCTTAATAAATGGCCAGAGAAGTAGGGATTTTGTTAGGCTTGTGGAAGCAAGCAGGTAAACGTAAAAATGATTTATATTACTACTGAGCTTTGGCCATCAATTAATTGGCAATGTAGCTTTTGTTGAAATTACTCAATTAAAATATAGTTCACGGAAAAACCATTTCCTGGTTGTAGGGGAATGACCAGGCTTTTAGACAGTCCTAATGAATATTATAGAATACAGTGTCTATTTTGTGTTTTGGCGTGTTTTTTTGTAAAAACTTTTGTGACGTGATGACTACTTTGGCATCCAAAGCAGGAGAGAGTGAGTGAGGTTAAAATCACTGGATGTCATAGCCTGTATTTTTTAGGTGGTGTGATTGCAGAGCTTTTTTTCTAACTCCTTACTCTTTTGATATGTAACTGATTCCACATATAGTTACTTATTTATTTTTACTCACATCTCCTAAAATTTCTGTATGAATTCAGTCTGAAGTCTGTTTACATACATTGTAGATTGCATGTTTAAACACAGTACTTTTTAGAAATGCATAATTTATGTGGTATAATTCACCATTTAGTGAATTCATTCACAATTTTCCTTTTAGCAGATTCCTTTTTTTCTAGTACATGATAAAGGAAATATTTGTTTTCTTGATATGTTTCAGGCCAACAATCTGTACATGAGACCCAGGAATTATTTCCAAAGCAGGATTTATTTGCTGAAGTGTTAACAGACAGAACTTTAAACACTAATTTGGAGTGTTCCACTTTCAGAGAAAATTGGGATTCTGAGGGTGTGTTTGAAAGGAAGCTGGTAGGTCAGGAAACACAATTCAGGCAAGAGACTGTCACTAATAACAAAACCCTCTCTAAAGAAAGAGAGTGTACATATAACAAATATGGAAGATGGTTCCCTTTGGATGTTTCAGAAGAGAGCATTCATAATCGTGATTCAGTTAAGAGAAGTTTCCCCCAAAGTACAGTGGTAATAAAACATACAGGAATCTATTCAGGAAAAAAACTTTTCAAATGTAATGAATGTAAGAAAACTTTTACTCAGAGCTCCTCCCTTACTGTTCATCAGAGGATTCATACTGGAGAGAAACCCTATAAATGTAACGATTGTGGAAAGGCTTTCAGCGATGGCTCATCCTTTGCTCGACATCAGAGATGTCATACTGGCAAGAAGCCTTATGAATGTATTGAATGTGGGAAAGCCTTCATACAGAACACATCCCTTATTCGACACTGGAGGTATTATCACACTGGGGAGAAACCCTTTGATTGCGTTGACTGTGGGAAGGCCTTCAGTGATCACATAGGACTTAATCAACATAGGAGAATCCATACTGGAGAGAAACCTTACAAATGTGATGTATGTGACAAATCCTTTAGATACGGCTCATCCCTTACCGTCCATCAAAGGATTCATACTGGAGAAAAACCATATGAATGTGACGTTTGTAGAAAAGCCTTCAGCCATCATGCATCACTAACTCAACATCAAAGAGTACATTCTGGAGAGAAGCCTTTTAAATGTAAAGAATGTGGGAAAGCTTTTAGGCAGAATATACACCTTGCTAGTCATTTAAGAATTCATACTGGAGAAAAACCTTTTGAATGTGGGGAATGTGGCAAATCCTTCAGCATCAGTTCTCAGCTGGCCACTCATCAGAGAATTCATACTGGAGAGAAGCCCTATGAATGTAAGATTTGTAGTAAAGCATTTACCCAGAAGGCTCACCTTGCACAGCATCAGAAAACTCATACGGGAGAGAAACCATATGAGTGTAAGGAATGTGGGAAAGCTTTCAGCCAGACCACACACCTCATTCAACATCAGAGAGTTCATACTGGAGAGAAACCCTATAAATGTACTGAATGTGGGAAGGCCTTTGGTGATAACTCATCCTGCACTCAGCATCAGAGGCTTCACACGGGCCAAAGGCCTTATGAATGTATTGAATGTGGGAAAGCATTCAAGACAAAGTCATCCCTTATTTGTCACCGTAGAAGTCACACTGGAGAGAAACCTTATGAGTGTAGTGCATGTGGCAAAGCCTTTAGCCATCGTCAGTCTCTTAGTGTACACCAGAGAATCCATTCTGGAAAGAAACCATATGAATGCAAAGAATGTAGGAAAACCTTCATACAAATTGGACACCTGAATCAACATAAAAGAGTCCATACTGGAGAGAGGTCCTATAACTATAAGAAAAGTAGAAAAGTCTTCAGGCAAAGTACACACTTCACTCATCAGCGAATTCATAATGGAGAGTCTTCAACACGTTCCTCTTTACCTTCCACATCAAGTCCTGTGGATCTGTTTCCCAAATTTCTCTGGAATCCATCCTCACTCTCATCCTCATAGTCTCAGTGTCATTATTTCACCTGACTACTCTAGTAGTTTAAAAACTGGTATCCCTGCTCTTTTATTTTCACCCTTTCCAAGTTTGTTTTTCACGTAGTAGTCAGATTGATTTAAGTGTAAATTCACTCCTTATGTAAAAACTTGCATTGAGATCCTTTTAACTGATTAATGCCTAAGATGCTCTTAACACAGTCCTCATCCATGTTAAATGTTGAGTAGTTTTAGCTCTTTTAAAAACATTCTGGCACATTGAAGCATTACCATAGTTAGCTTTGAGTAATAATGATGCATAGAACGGGGCACGGAGAAACCAGGTTTTAGATCAGGAACTGGAGTTTCAAGGTAGTCAGTGAAGCTTTGCCTACATTGGTTTAAAGCTTGATTTCATCATGTCGAGTTAGTGTTCTGGCTTTCCATCTAATCTGCATAATGTAAGGTGACGAGACCTTGTTGGTTAGAAAGTGTGTAGAGAAAATGGATGAGTAGGCCAACTGGAACAAAGAAATTTAAACGATCAGAGAGAAATGAAAGATGGTGTGCATAAAATTAAAATTACGTTAATCAAGATTTAGAAATTTTGGCAAGATTTGATCTGTTTAGTCATCTGGACTTATGAATGAATTCTATTAAACTTTCAAGGAAACATTAACCTGAGGTACACTCATCAAGAGAGTAGGGGTCAGCAAACTGATTCATGACCAAATTCTCACTGTTTTTGCATGGCCCATGATCTGATTAAAACAAACAAACAAACAACAACAACAACCAAAAAAAAGAAAAAACACTTTAAAGGTTGAGCAAATGAAGAGAACGATGTTTTAGGACAACATGAATATTATGTGAAATTTGAATTTCAATGTCTTCAAATAAAGTTTTATTGGCTCACAGCCACACTTCTTTGTTTACACATTGCCTATAGCTGCTTTCACTCTACAAGGGCAGAGTTGAGTACCTGCAGCAGAGACAATGCGGCCTGCACAACCTCAAACTTTTACTATCCTTTTACAGAAAAAGTTTGCCAACCCCTGCTATAGCAGAGAAGAATATGCAAAAGGTTCTAATTATTTCTGTAAGAGTAATAGAAATCTCACATCACCAACAAAAACTGTTGAGTGATTTATGAATAGAAGTGAAAGGAAATTATTAAACCAGATCGAATAATAGAAAATGTCAGTTAAGAAGTATATTTTTCTAGGTGAAATAATACTATTAATATGTAATGTAAATTTTCTTTCACAGCAGAGTCCCAGTAGGATATGTTTACTTTGACAGTTTTAGTTGAAACCATATGAGGAAAGATAATTTGACGAGCATAGCAGGGTATTTTGAAATAGGTTTCTTTGCATTTGAGATTTTGGTATATAAAAAGACTGACTTTTATTTGGGGGAAATGATGTTTTGATAGTTGGTTATCCACACTCCAAAACAAACAAAACATTGACACCTTCCAGAGAAATGCAATACAATTGTATATAATACAGTTGGATTTACTAAGTAAGACATGGAGTCCTAGGAGACATAAAGAAGAGAGTAAGTTGGCCTATACAAGGATTTAAAACTCTGGCATGGTAAAAGGTGCTAAAAAGATGTAAAAGACTATTGACAGAAAATATATACAACTTACGTGAAAAAATGTCAGGAACAAAATGCTATTACATATACAAAATAGTGGGAAAAAATTGACAGTGCATACCAACAGGCCTGTTACAGTTGAAGGATTCAAATGAATAATGAAAATTTGTGAAGTTTTTAACCTCACTAACCAGAAAATTACAAATTAAAGCAAGTTTTCTTGGCTGTCAGATGGATTAAAACCTAAAGTTTAGGTAATATCCAGTACTGGTATCAGTGCGGGAAAATGAGCACTTCATTAGCAGTGTAAACTTGTCTCATACATTTTTGAAAGGCAATGTGGCACGATCTGGCAACATTATAAATGTGCATTTCTTTTGAAACAGTAATTCTATGTCTAGGAATTTTATCTCTTTAGGTAGGTAGGTGTAAATAATGTTTATTGCAGAATTGTTTTAATTATGACAAATAGGAGTTCAGCGTCCTGCCAAGCAGATTGAATTGTGATTATTCAGTACTGTGTTGTCCAGTCAGTAGAAAGAAGTTAAGCTGTGTACATGCTTCCTTGGAAGAGTTGTCTATCCACAGTATATTAAATGAAATACGTGATTTGCAAAACTTTATGTATAAAATGATCTTGTAGTCATAGTCAAAATTAATATCTAATATGTATATTTTTGCATGTATGTATATGTGTGTGTATGTGTATATATATATTTTCAGAATATATGTTGAAATCTGTTTTTATCTTTAACCATACACACTTTCCTAGCTCTTGTTGGCACTTTCACTTTCTTCGTTCTGTATTGTTCTGGGAAACTGCCAGTCGCGCGTGGCTCCATTTAAGCCAATTAGATTTTTCGTTCTTTGTGTTTTGATTGGAGTCACAGGGACAGGAGCAAAGTCAATATTTGGCTTTATGTATGGCCCTAATGGGTGTTTACTTTCCATCAGTATTCACTTTGATTCGTTGAGATCCTTGTTGTACCAGCTATTAAGTATATGGAATGTCACTCCTGGACTGGAAGTAGTTGAAATTGAATCATCCTTTGGCAGCAGCCTAAAGATTTCTGCCTTTCTACCTATCACTCTGATCCATTAAAATGATTTCTGCTTCCTCACATCTTAGTTTTGTTCCATTCTTTAAATCTGAGGCAACTAGTATTCTTCCAATATTTAACTTCTAATTTAAGTAGGAGTTATCATCTTTCAACCAGAGAAAGCCAGCCCATATGGGAATTGATACCATAGGATGATTGTCATACTGCAGAGAAACAGGGTGTTAAAGATTGAGTATTGAGTAAGATAGATCAAAACACAGAGAATCTTATAATCCTGTTTTGTACTGGGAAAGGGTGTTCACAATACAACAGGATAAGCTCATTTTGCATTAGGGGCTGGATAGCACTTAACAAAAACTATAGGGAATGAAGAATGCTATTTTTATTAGTGCGTTGGGAATCATCTTACCACTTCTAACCGTGGGGCTGCAATTACTGGCAGCCAATTACAATAGTAGATCGTTAGTTGCTGAGCTTGATGCTTAACTGAATTCCCAACCTTATCACTTCTCTGAAATGGAAGTGGAGTCTTGGGTAAGATTTGAATCCACATTGTTGAGATGGGGCTGTTATGAAGGATTCAAGTGTCTCAGAAAACTTGAACTCTCTCAGACCTTAAGAAACCTCTGTACTAATTCTCGCCATACCTCCCTTTTGACAAAACTATTAGTCTCCGAGTCTGCTCTTCTGCTCCCACCATTATTGCTTGGTTAGTAACCAAAACCTGAATTTAATACAACCTGTAGTTTGAAAGACAAAGAGAATTTATTTTCAGCCAGAAATACTTAGTTTTACTAATTATACTATCAATAATCTAGGGAACATCATTGGAAATGTGTTTTAAGGGTTAGGAATTACTTTGCATAATAAATAAGGACAAGAGTTTATAATGCTGGATTGCATGATTTAAGTCCATGTCCCTGACTCATCTTTTGTAAGGGCCCCTGTTAACTCAGTAGCCTTTCAACAGTTTTTTGACATGAAAGAAGCCCCAGCATCTTAAAACTTTTCTTACATCTTATTTGGGGTACTGGGAATTCTTATGAGACCAACTGCATTTGGAAAGTGTATTGAATTATGGTATGTATACTAGTTGAATTATGAGGCAACAGTTAGCCATGAGAAGGAAGTGAAATGGTCATAATAAACCTCAGAACTCCAAGAATGTTCTGATATCCGATATTGCCATTGTACTTACTAATTGATTCCCATGGTTGAAACTACACCTAGGTTTTGTTTTAATTAAAAACTCTCTATGGTATGATCTCCAAGTCCCACAGCGACTTGCATCCATAGAAAGGGGACTGAGTGCTCTTGAATGATTGTAATTAAAATCACTATGAACATTTTCCCTCTGGAATTCCTAAGTGACTTGCCTTTATGCAGAGTGAGTGCTCATGGGGGAATTCTTATCTAGTGTAGTATATAGCAGGTCCAGTGACCACAAACCCATACTGAGGTTATTTTCCTAGGTCCTGAGTATTTGTTAATATCTATGATGTGACTAGATGATCGCCCCATGTTTGTGCTTTCCTTCCTCTTGTCTGGAATTGATTCTGGATGTGACTGTCCAGATAGATCCTACGTGATTCTGCCATCACTGTTTCTAGTTGTGGTTATTAGGTTAATTTTCTTCAGTGTGGTTTGAATAGAGATGATATATATCATTCGGGGCTTGCTTATTAAGAAGAGGATATACTATCCAGCTGGGGAAGAAGACCCTTAATTGTATGGGATGCAAAGCTGCAAGATGGAAGAACTCTGGGCCCTAAACCACTGCTTGGAGAAAAGCCATCAATCACCCAGGAACACCAGCAATGGATTATTATGTGAGTGAAAAATAAACATGTGCTAAGGTAATGACATTTAGGCTTTCAAAATAATAGCAGCTGCTGTAATTCCAGTCAACATGATATCTTTGACTACTGGTAGAATCCCTATTTTAAGTCACTTAATCATAGAGTAAGAGTTGTGATGATATGTTAGCTATTGTGTAACAAATTACTCCAAAGCTTAGTAGTTTAAAACAAACTTACATTTATTATCTTACAGTTTCTTTGAGTAAGGAGTCCAGGCATGGCTTAGCTGGGTGCCTCTGGCTCCCAGGGTCTCTCACATAGCTATAGTCATTTGAAGTCTTTATTGGAGGGAATCATCTTCCAAACTCACTCATTTAAACTGTTGTCTCATCTCAGGTCCTCACTGACTTGGCTGGACACATTAATTCCTTTCCACTTAGCTCACACCATAGCAGCTGGCTTCCTTGAAAGTGAGCAGGCAAGAGAGGGAAGAAGGATGCCAGAGTCTTTATGTAACCTAATATTACAGGTGACATCCCCTGATCTTTGCATTTGGTTAGTTAGCAGTGGGTCACTAGGCCCAGCTCACTTCCAGGGGAAGATTACAAAAAGATATGAATAACAGGAAGCGGGGTTATTGGGGGAACCATCTTTAAAATTTTTTTTTTCTACTCTGGAACATAAAGCCTTTTTAATGAAAGCATAGTTGAAATACAATATTATATTAGTATCAGGTGTACAACATAGTGATTTGACATTTACATACCTTACAAATTGATCACAAGAAGTCTAGTAACCATCTGTCACTGTACAAAGTTATTGCAATATTCACTGTATTCCCTATGCTGTACATTACATTCCTGTAACATATTTATAACTATAAGTTTGACCCTCTTAATCCCCTTTACCTCTTTTGTGCATTCTACCTATCGCTCAACCCTCTGGCAACTATAAGTTCATTCTCTGTATCTGAGTCTGTTTTGTTAGTTCATTTGTTTAGTGCTTTAGACTCCACATACAAATGAAATACAGTATACGTCTTTCTCTGACTTATTTTACTTAGCATAACACCCTTGGTTCATCTATGTTGCAAATGGCAAGATTGCATTCTTTTTATGGCTGAATAACATTCCATTGTGTATATGTACTACCTCTTCTTTATCCATTCATTTATCAGTGGACACCTAGGTTGCTTCCATATCGTAGCTATTGTAAATAATGATGCATAGTGATGCATATGTCTTTTTTAATTAGATTTTTCATTTTCTTATAATAAATCCCCACAAGTGGAATTGCTGGATCAGATGTTATATTTTAATTTGTTAAGGAACCTTTATACTGTTTTCCATAGTGGCTGCACCAATTTACAGTCCCACCAATGGTGCACGAGGGTTCATCTCCACATCCTTGCCAGCACTTGTTGTTTCTTGTCTTTTTTATAAGCCATTCTAATAGGTATGAGGTGATAATTCATTGTGTTTTTTTACCTGCATTTCACTAATGAATGAAGTTGAACACTTTTTCATGTATCTGTTCACCATCTGCATGTGTTCTTTGGAGAAATATCTAGTCAGATCTTTTGCCCATTTTTAAATTGGATTACTTGCTTTTTTGTGGGGTTTTTTTTTTGATGTATGTTTTTTATATATTTTAGATATTAATCCCTTATCAGATATATTATTGGCAAATATCTTATTCAGTAGGCTGCCTTTTCATTTTGTTAATGGTTTTTTTCACTCTACAGAAGTCTTTTAGTCTACTATGTCCCATTTGTTTATTTTTTGTTGCTCTTGCCCAAGGAAACACATCCAAAACTATTTTTCTAAGACCGATATCAAAGAGTTTACTGCCTATGTTTTTTTCTAGGAGTTTTATGGTTTAAGGTCTTGTATTTAAGTCTTTAATCTATTTTGAGTTTATTTTTGTATATGGTGTAAGAAAGTGGTTTGGTTTTATTTTTTTGCATGTAGATGTTTAGTGTTTCCAACACCATTTATCAGAGACTTTCTCTATTGTATATTATTGCCTCCCATGTTGTAAATTTGATTATATAAGCATGGGTTTATTTCTGGGCTCTGTATTTTGTTCCATTGATCTATGTGTGTTTTTGTGTCAGTACCATACTATTTTGATTACAATAGCTTTGTAATATAGTTTGAAATCAGGGAGAGTGAGGTCTCCAACTTCAGTTGGATTTAATTCTGCTCTGGTCTTTATTGTTTTTTTCCTTCTACTAACTTTGCAAGGCTTTGTTCTTTTTCTAGTTCCTTTAGATGTAAAGTTAGATTGAGATTCTTCTTGTTTCTCGAGGTAGGCCTGTACTGCTGTGAATTTTAGGGTAACCATCTTAATGGTATCCTTCCAGTCTGCTCTGTAACCCTTAGCGATTCATGTTCCTTCCATATGCAACATGCACTCACCCCCTTCCAAGGCCCTCCCAAAGTCTTGTCTCATAGCATCAGCTCAGAGTCAGGAATCTTTCAAATAAATCAGGTCCAGATGCTGATGAGGCTTATAAAGTGTAGTTTCTTAAGTACAATTCCTCTCCATTTTCAGAACTTCGGAAAATGAGATATTACCTGCCCCATAGCCCGCAGCCACCTGAACGAAATCACTGGTACATAGCAATTCTGAGATCTGGCCAGAAAAATTTTTGAAAATTCCTTGATTAGATCTCAAGGCCTGGGAATAACTCTCTACCCCCTGGACTCTTGGTTCTGCCAAGTTATTTCAGTGCAGTAGTTTTCTAATCTTGCTTATTGGCTTTCAGATTTTGGGAATCCAGTGGTCTCCATTTTGTGTCCATCCTCTTCACTGCAAGTTGGCAGTTACCCGCAGAGCTAATTTTCTTGAAAACTTTGTGGACTTCATGTGAATCTCGTTGAGATAAGCTTCTTAGAGGCCTCCTCATGTAAATCAAAGTATCTGTGTGGGTCCTTTTTAATTTCTTTCCAGAGTCTTTGTGTGATTAAACAGTACTCTTGAGATACCAACTGTGACTTTTCTGAGCTTCTAACAACAGATTTTACAGTCATACCCTTAGTTTTCTCTCTAGACCAGTTTTCTAGCAGTACCTTGGATTTTGTCTTTGCCCAGAAGCCTTTTATCGATTTCAGCATCATCTGCCATCAAAGGAGGCTATGGATTTTCACAACCATCTTGTCTTTGCTCCTTGCTAACAGTCCCTCAATTTTTATCTTTCCTTTTGCATGTTTCTATAAGCAGCAAGAAAACAACAGACAGTATCTTCAATACAATGGTGAATTGTCTCCTTAGTTAGATCACCCAGCTCTATTTTCAGCATTAACCACAAATAATAGGTTGCTAAACTTCTGCCACTACATAACGAACCCCCTTTCCTCCAGCTTCTAATAAGGGATTTCTCACCTTTTTTTAAGCCTTCACCAGCACTTAAAGTCTAAGATTTTTGGCTAATCCCTTACATATGCAACTATTGGGCAAATTTCAGGCATTCCAGCTAAGGCCGAAAGAACTAAGTAAAGGCTTCAGCTGCCGCGTATCTCAAGAGAGACAGAATTTGGAGATTGAGTTCAGCCAAGTGAACTGCCTACTAAAATAAAAGTCATTGTTCTTCACAGGAACATTAACAATCTCTCTACAATGTATTAATTATTCATGAAACCTAGGATGGAACCGAAATTATTAGATATATGGGGCGGGGGAGAAACAACAAGAAAACATAAGCCACACGCAAGAGAAAAAGCAACAGACCAATCATTCGAGATAACCCAGATGTTGGTGTTAGCAAACAAGAATGTTAAAGCTGCTATTTTAATTATTCTGAAGGATGTAAGAAAAAATGAGATTAATGAATGAGCAGATGAGAATTTTAGCCAAAGAATGAAAATTTGGAAATGAAGTTTCTAAAACTTAGAAATACAATATTTGGAAGTAAAATTTTAATAGGTTTAACTGTGAATTGAAGGTAGCAGAAGAGTCGATGAAGCTGAAAATAGATACATTAAAATATAGAGAAAGAAGGATTGAAAGAAAATGAATAGTGCTTCGGTGACTTGTATGATATCAAAAGGTCTAACAAACATAATTAGAATTACAAAAAGGGAGGAAAGGAGATGAAATAGAAAACCAGTTTGAATAATGTCCAGAAATTTCCCAAATTTGATGAAAGATACATATTTTCACATTCAAAAATGTCATAAAACCCCAAGCAGGATAAATACAAAGAAAACCACACCTGGACACATCATTATGAATATGCTGAAACCCAGAGATAAAAAGAAAACCTGGGAAGTAGTCAAACAAAATAATGGCTCCTTTTTATAATCAGAAACAGAGGACATGGGATGATACTTAAGTGCTGGGAAGATAAAAGGAAACCTTTCAATCTAGCATTCTACATCCAGAGAAAATATTCTTCAAAAATGGAGGTGAAATATATTTTTTAAACTGATAAGAACAGATACTATACTTGACCTTAGCCAAGAGGCCAAGAAATTTAGACTTTTTTTAGATAAACAAAAGCTGTGTATTTGTTCCTGGTAAATATACATGATGAGAAATGCTAAAGAGAATTTCCTCAAGCTTGAGCTAAATATCAGATGTAACTTGGATCTTGAGGAAGGAATGAAGAGCACCAGAAGTAATATGTGGGTTAAAAAGAATTTTAACCTCATATTTATTCTCTTAGTTTTTACAGACTTTGTTTAAAACAGTTATCTAAATTATTTTTGTATTGTGGCATTTATAATGCATGAAGATGTAATGTGTGTGTGTATATATACATATATATCATAAGTGATGGAGACATAAGTAGAACAATATGTGTGCAAATTTCTTATATTTAATGTGAAGGCACAATATTAACTTTACATTGAAAAGTTAAGGACGTATTTTATAATTCCTTGAGCACCCACTAAAACATACTAAAGTTAGCATAAATATAAAATGTAAATGCAAAGATTTATACTAAACGCAAAGAATTGTAGCTAAAAAGTCAATTAAAATGAAGTTGTAGTTAATTTAAGAGAAATCAGGAAAAGAGGACAAAAGCAATTAAAACAGTTAAAAAAGATAAAACAGCGAAATGATAAACTAAATCTACCATTATCAGTAATTACATTAAATATAAATGAACTCAATACTCTAATCAAAATTCAGAGATTGTTAAAATGGATAAAAAAAGATAAGAATTAAATACTTAAATATTATGTGGCTGAAGTTTTCACTACATTTGAAGTTTTAATTACATTTATCCTGAAATTAGAAAGGTCAAGAACAAAGTATATATTCAAGTAAAGTACAATTGGACATACACAAAAGAGAAAATGAATGAAATGCGGAAGATAGAGTAACAGTATCTGAAGCTCTGCCTTTAAAAAAGTTCATAGTATATCAAAGCATCTGATGAGAGTACAAGAGAGAACTTTTAAAAACCAGAGAGTACAAGAGAGAACCGAAAAACAATAACTTTAGACACAATAATTAGCCAGCTGTCTATCTAAATGAAGGAGATAGATTCTTAAAAATATAAAATTGCACGAGAAATATAGAGAATGAATCAGGCAAAATGATGTCAGAGACCTTTCATCCTAGAAGAATACTGTTCAGATGGCTTTAAAGGTGAGCTCTTCCAAACTACTAAGAAATGGTTCATTCCTATCTTATAGGAGTTATCCCCCCAAAATGGAAAATATTGCCCAGTTCATTGTATAAGAATCTATAACTTTGATTCCAAAATAAGACAAGAACAATATAAGATAATGAAAAGGTCCATTTCCCTTATGAACATATACACTAAAATTTTAAATAAAATATTACCTAAGTGTATATTCACCAATTTCTTAAAAATTAACATGATTGAGTAGTGCTTTTTCACAAAAGGCAAAATTGACTTAACATTAGTAATGTCAGTCTTCCACCACATTAATAGAATTAAAAAGAGGAAAGTTATATGATTACAGTAGAAAAACACCAGTTAAGTAAACTACAAGAAAATATTGTACTCAGTAGTACAGTGTACATTAAGTACAATATTACTTCATGCTTTCACTTTGATACTAAAAATAAGACAGGTATATCCAGTGTCATTACTACTGTTTTACATGGTACTGGACATAGTACTGGAGAGGTTCACCATCTTCTGGAAAGAAAAGGAATGAAAAGATATAGTGATAGCAAGAGAATAGATGTAACAGTCATTATTTGTAGGTAATATGAAACATCTGCTTGTAAAAATAAACTAGAACCTGTTAGAGAGTTAGCAAGATTGCCAGATTGACAGTTAACTTACATAATATTTTGTCTCTATGCCATCTCTGGTTTTAACATTTTTTTTTTATTATTGGTTTCCCCCTCTTTTAGATAACCCCCCTCCACCAGACTCCTTCAAGGTTTTCTTTGTGTTTGGCTTTCTGCATCTTGACTGTGATATGTCTGGGTTTACACTGAATATGTATATTTGTTTTTCTTGGCATTCTCTGCTTTCTGGGTCTGTGGTTTGCTGTGTGTCATTAACCTTGAGAAACTCTTGGTCATTAACCCTTCAAACATGTCTTCTGCTTTCTCTCTCTTTCTGACATTCCAGTTGTGTATAAGTTACATTTTTTCAATTGTCCTACAATTCTTGGATTTCCTGAGGCTTTTCTTTTCATTCTTTTTTTTCTCTTTTCCTTTCAGTTTGGGAAATTTCTATTGACATATCTTTTTGTTTCTATTGACATGTCTTCAAACTCATTCTTTTCTCACCTGTGTGGATGAGTCCATCAAGGACATTATTTTTGTCACAGTGCTTTGATTCTTTTTTAAGGGTTTCCACTCATCTGCTTACATTACCCTTCTGTTCTTGCCTGTTGTTTTCTTTTCCCATTAGTAACCTTAACATAGTAATTATAGTCATTCTGAATTCCTGATATGAAAATTCCAAAATCCGTGCCATCTCTGAGTCTGGTTCTGATGCTTGCTTTGTCTCGTCATGCTGTATTTTTTCTTGTGCCTACCTTGTAATTTTTTTGTTGAAAGCTGGACATGATGTTCTAGGTAATAGAAACCAACGTAATTAGGTTTTTAGGTGGGTCTTATGTTCATCTGGCTAGGATCTGGGTTGCGTTTAATGTTTACTGTAGCTGTAGCTATAGCTGCCAGAGACTTTGGTTTCCTCTGGTTACTTTGCTTTCTTTCCTTCCGCCTATTGTCTTTGGATTTCCCTCAGAACTCCTTAAATAGAATCTGTGTCTTTCTGCTAGTTGTAATCTGCTGTTGTTACACTGAAGTGCTGTTGGTGTGGTAGTAAAGTATCAGAAGGGGAAGCATTCTATAATCATTATTAAATCTCTTTATGTCAGTGGACCTGAGTCCTTGATCTGTGACCTTCAAAAGTCTTTCTTAGCCCTGACTGAGATAGGAAGGCTAGAGGGGCTGGAGCTGCCCTGTTGGCCTTCCTCCAGGTCCAAAGAGGCTCTCATATGTAGTTTTCCTTGGAGTGTTAAGAAGAATGCCTGTATTTCAAAATATTTACTTTTCCCCTCCCCTGCCCAAAACACAAGGAGGTTCCCCCCCCGACCCTACACACACACCTCAGTCTTTAGTGTGAAAATTTCATGGAGTTCTTGTAGGGGCCCTCAGGAGTTTTTGAAGTCACAAGCTAGTCCACACTTATTTTCCAGTAATTCACTAAAATTATCAATTAAGAATTTGTACCAGTTTATGCCTCCTGCAGCTTCTGCTTCAGGTAAGCTGATATTTGCTATGATTTTCTGTATTCCTCTGACTCCAGATTTCATGGTGGTGGTTTTCTTTGTGACTTCAATTCCCTGATGGATCTTTTTTTTTTTGCAAATTTTTAATTTTCAGTTTGTCGAATGTTTTTTTTTTGCGAAGATGCGAGTGGTTTTCAAGCTCTTTATATTTCTTAAAATGGAAAGTATTAGTGTTGCTTTTATCCAACTCAAATAACCAGCTACAAAATTTTACAAACACTAAGATTTCACTTAGAGACAGCATCTTCACAGCTAGAATTAGCTTCATTATGGAGTCCATGAAGTCTGAGAAATTGGATCCTGGAAAGCCAGTCTAGATGCGTAGCTTTGAGTGATTGATTGTGTCTGAGTGACTTAATTTTTAGGTCACATGTGATGGACCATTTTCTATAGCTGTGTCACAATGAGACTGCTAATGCTAAATTATTTTTTTTTTCTGAGTACTTAGTACAGTTATATGCCACATAATGATGTTTCAGTCAGCGACAGGCCCCATACACAACAGTGGTTCCATGAGATTATAATGGAGATGAAACATTCCTATCACTGAGTGACGTCATAGATCATTCATTACTCACGTGTTTGTGGGTTATTGGTGTAAACAGACCTGTGCTGCCAGTCATATAAAAGTAGAGCACATATGATTATATATAGTATGTGATACTTGATGATAATAAGTGACTATATTACTGGTTTATGTATGTACATTTTATTGTTGTTTTGGACTGCACTCTCTACTTAAGAAAAAAATGTTTTCTATGAAACTATGTCGTGTTATGCCAGCAACAGCCTCATATATCTTGCGTTTTTCACATTTCTTGATTACATCATTTCCCTTGTGCTTGATTTAATCTGGTGTTGTTTTGTTCATCATAGCCCCTAAGTGTACAAAATCTACTGCTAATGTTGCCAGCAAGAGGCCACGTCGAGCAATTGACCTGGAAACGAAATTAAATGTGATTAAAGACTATGAAGGTGGAAAGTCAGTGATGGTTATTGCTCGCCAGTCAGGCATGTCTCATTCCACCATAGCTACGATCTTGAAGAACAAGAACAAAGTGACAGAAGCTATTAAAGGATCTGCTTCATTGAAGACAACGAGACTAACGAAAATTCGAGAGGGGCCTATATCAGACATGGAGAAACTTCTAATAACCTGGATTGAAGACCAGAGACAGAAACGTATTCCTCTCAGCACCATGACGATCACTGCCAAAGCAAAAAGTTTGTTTGCGATGTTGAAAGAAAAAGCTGGACCCAACTACAATGTTGAATTTATTGCTAGCTCTGGGTGGTTTAAACGATTCAAGAATCGTTATTCATTGCATAATGCGAAAGTGAGTCATGAGTCTGCGAGTGCTGATATGAAAGCAGCTGAAGAATTTTTGGAAACTCTAGATAAGCTGATTATAGAGGGAAACTACTTGCCAGAGCAAATATTCAATATGGATGAAACATCGCTATTCTGGAAACAGATGCCTAAAAGGACTTTCATCCATAAGGAGGCCAAGTCAATACCAGGTTTCAAAACTTTTAAGGACAGGATTACAGTGTTGCTTGGGGGCAATGTTGCAGGTTACAAATTGAAACCCTTTGTCATCTGGCACAGTGAGAACCCCAGGGCTTTCAAGCATATCAGTAAGCACACACTGCCAGTGTACTACAGGAGCAATAAAAAGTTATGGATGACCCAGCTCCTTTTCCAAGATGCCCTCCTGAATTGCTATGCCAATGAAATGGAGAAGTACTGTTTGGAGAATAACATACCTTTCAAGATTTTGCTTATTGTTGATAATGCTCCCGGACATCCTCCTTTTATTGGTGATCTTCATCCCAATATCAAAGTGGTATTTCTCCCCCCAAACATCACCTCTTTGATCCAACCAATGGATCAAGGAGTTATAGCAGCTTTTAAGGCCTACTACCTGAGAAGGACTTTTGCCCAGGCTATTGCTGCAGTTGAAGAAGACACTAAGAAGACACTGATGCAATTCTGGAAGGATTACAACATCTATGACTGCATCAAGAACCTTGCTTGGGCTTGGGGTGATGTCACCAAGGAGTGTATGAATAGCATTTGGAAGAACACACTCAAGAGATTCGTCCATGACTTCAAAGGATTTGCTAAGGATGAGGAGGTTGCAAAAATCAACAAGGCTGTGGTTGAGATGGCAAACAACTTTAACATGGGTGTGGATGAGGATGACATTGAGGAGCTCCTGGAAGTGGTTCCTGAGGAACTGACCAATGAGGAGTTGTTGGAACTGGAGCAGGAGCGCATAGCTGAAGAGGCAAGAGCAAAGGTAGCTGCAGAAGAAAAAGAACCCCCAAGAGAATTCACAGTAAAGGGTTTGGCAGAAGCTTTTGGAGACCTCAGCAAGCTCCTTAAAAAGTTTGAAAACATGGACCCCAATGTTGAAAGGTTTTCAATAATAGAGAGGAATGTTCATGGTGCACTATCTGCTTACAAGCAAATCTATGATGAAATAAAGAAATCAAGCACACGTGGACATATTTCTGAAATTCTCAAGAAGGAGGCTCAGGCAGGTCCTTTAGGTTGTATTCCAGAACAAGGCATTGTCATCACAGATGATAGCTCCATTTGTGTTATTGGCCTTGAAGACCTCCCAGTGGGACAAGATGTGGAGGTGCAAGACAGTGATATTGATGATTCAGGCCCTGTGTAGCCAGCCCTAGGTCAATATGTGTGTTTGTTTCTTGGTTTTTAATAAAAAGATTTTAAAAAGTTTAAAAACATTATTTTAATAGGAAAAAAGCTTATAGAATAAGATGTAAAGAAAAAATATTTTTGTACAGCTGTTCGATGTGTTTTAAGCTAAATGTTATTACAGAAACGGAAAATTTGAAAAATTAAAGTTTATGATGTAATAATGTTGCATTAAGCTAAAATTTATTGAAAAAAGATAAATTTTCAAAATTTAGTATAGTCTAAGTGTAGTGTTTATAAAGCTTACACTAGTGTACAGTAGTGTTCTATAGGCTGTCACATTTAATCACTCGCTCACTGACTTGCCCAGAGCAACTTCTGTCCTGCAGGCTCAATGGTAAGTGTCTTATACAGGTGTGCCAATTTTAATTTTTGATACCATATTTTTACTGTACTTTTTCTATTTTTAAATATGTTTGGGTACACAAATACCATTGTGTTACATTCACCTACAGTATTTAGTACTGTAACCTGCTCTACAGCCTTGTAGCTTAGGAGTAATATACTATACCATACAGGCTAGGTGTGCAGTAGACTAGACCATCTAGGTTTGTGTAAGTGCACTATGGTGTTTGCACAGTGATGAAATTTGCCTAACAGTGAATTTCTCAAACCTGTCCCTGTTGTTAAGCTATACGTGACTGTACATCAAACACTCTTCTAGTCAGTGAGAGAGAATACAACCGTAAATAGTGTTAAGCAGCTCTGTATCTTCATGGGGCCCTCATTCCAGTAGGGAGGGACAAAATGGGCTGGGGTAGATTATATCAGAGGAGAACTGGTTGGTATGACACAAGTCATGTCACACACACAGTCACAAATCACATTTGCACAAAATACCAGGCAAAATGGAAATGAATCGATTCTCCTTTCCAGAGGCTCCGCTTCTAGACCCACCTACTGGGCCCCAGTGAGCGGCCGAGTGCCCAGCTCCCAGTTAGATTTCCAAACAAGACAGCTGTGCTTGCACACTAGGAACCTCACCAGGGCTCCCAGGTGTCCCAAGGCGGGTTGTTATGGATGCGGTCCAACTGGGGCCGAGAAGCTGCTAGGCGACTGTTTCCCCCAGGCGGCACTTGTAGGGGACAGAGGGCGCTGATCACCAGGCCTGGAAGGGAACTGTGCCTGGCCACCTTATCGCCTGATTCCGGGACGTGGATGCGGCCCGGTAGGCACTACATTTCCCAGGGGTTGTCGCGGCGGGGTACGCCCACTTCCGGCGAGAGCTTGGGGAGCCGTAATGAGAGTCAGCGGGGTCTGGGAAGGGGTCCGCTAGCCGTTTGGGGGCCGCGGCGGAGGCACTACGGGGGCGAGGCGACGGTGCGTGGTATGTGTAGAGAGTACGTGTTAGCGGGGAGCAGGCGGGTGGGAGTGTGCCGTGGGACTGGAAGGGCGGGGCAGGGAGCTTGCTCCTGCCTTGAGTTTTTGTGCGCTGTGCGAGTTCCAGCAGCATGTGAGAGGCGGTGTGTATTGGAATGAACGAGAGGCTGACGGGGCAGAGATCTGGGACCCCCGGAGGAGACCATCCACCCACACGCAGACCCAACCGCCAAGAAGCCAGTGTGGGCCAAACCCTAGAGTTCTGCGCCAGTGCCCCGTTGGGGCGCGGCGGCCGAAGCACCTTGCTGCGCCACCTGGGGCGGGCGGAACTCGGGAAGCGTCCAAACGTCCTCGGGACTGAGTACCCAGGTAAGAGTGACAGATGGCTGAGGTGGGGCTGCAAGGGTGGAAATTAAGGTTTGGGGGTGCCGTTCCTCGGGCCCAAGTGTTGGAGGAGGATGTCCCGGGCCTCAAGCTGGTAGACCCTGAAGTCCAAAAGGCTTGGAGGGTCCCCTTGGGCCAGAGTATGGAGCTGAATTCAGGGAAGTTTCTTGACTTGCCAGGAGTCATCTAACAGACAGTGCTTCCTGGTCTTTGTGGGTATCTCCAAGGACCCAGGGAAGCGAGCATTCCCTTCCCACAGTGGGTAAGAGAGAGGGGAAGGAAGTGCCATTCATACGTATTGTTCTTCACCTGTTTCAGTGCATGCATTAATGACCGCCGACGTTTCCTGACAGACAGTTCAGAAACCTTTGGGGAATATCAACACCGAGCCTCACAGCATTATGAAGTGGAACCTACCTCATCTCCTTTTTACAGGTGAGGACACTGAATCAGAGAGAGGACAAGTGATTGCTAGTGGTGGAGGAGCCAGGATTCAGATCCAGGACAGGCTGACTCCGGAGTACCCCTCTGTCCTGGCTCTCCTGTAATCTCTTCGACAAGGCCTGGAGGTAGGTATTCTTAACCATTTTGGACAGTTGAAGAAATCAAGTCTGAAAGAGTTAAGTAACTTCAGGCATTCATATCCTAAAATCTCCACTGAGCAAGTTTTTAAAAAAATTTTCTGACCTAGTTTCTCTTATGTAAAATGGAGATAACATACTGCACAGGACTGTTATAAGGATGAAATGAGTCATGAGTGAAAAGCACTCAGTGTAGTCATTGCCACATAGTAAATGCTCAGTAAGCATTCATTGTTATTATCATTATAGTAATGCTTTCAAGAAGCAGTGGAGTTTACAGAAGAGAAACTAGAATTCCGTCAGATACTTGTATCCTCTTTCTAATAGAAGAAACTTGGCTCAGAGGGGACAAACTATAGTTTGTAACAAAGCAAAATGAGAACCTGGGTGTTACCTGGCTCCTCCGATGATTTTTTGGTTCAGTTATCTGCAAGTCACGTGGACTTGCTGGGGAAGATGATTCCAAGTCTCATAGGATCTATGGAATCCTGGCTAGTTAGTTGCACAGGGGACATATTTTCTATTATATTCTGGTGTCTGCTTCAGCAAAAACTTTGGATGATAGAGCCAGGTAGACCTAGGTTGGTGCCCAGGCTCCATTATTTGCAAGCTGTGTGACTTATGCAAAAGACTTCACTTCCCAGAGGTTTCATGTGTGAAGAGGTGATAGTATTTCCTGTTTTCATTGACAACGTGAAGGTTAAATCAGAGTAAGTAATAGATGTAGCGTACTTGGTACATCTCTGTTGTTAATAAATGGGTGGCTTTGAGGGAGGTGTTGTGCTCAGCCTGAAAATGCAGAGCAGAGCCCCAGCTGTAAATTGTAGGTGTCCCAGCGAGTGCCTGGACTGAGGGAAGGGTAGATGGGAGTAGTGGAGTGAAAACAGAGGGAGCTGAAGGGAAGAAAGTTTCTAGGCAGTGATTCTTAGAGCTGTTCACTAATTTCTCCTCTGTAGCTCTGCCCTCTTCAGGGGAAAGCCCTTCACATGAGGAGCCAGGAGGAGGAGGAGGTGATAGGAATCGAACTTTGTAAAGCCATGCCCCCGGTGAGTTAGTACTCTCTCTTTCCCCCTTACAATACAGTTTTGCTTTTCAGGATTTGGCAATATTTGTTTGCTTCTGAAAACTCTGCTTAAGAGTTCTGTCCTGGTGCCTGGTTCCTATTTCTTCCCTTTCTGATGAGTGGTGGGGTCACAGGGATAGACTCAAACAGCCCAGTGACCTCTCAGAGCTTCCTCTTCTTCCTATTTGCTATTTATTCTTCATTCAAGAAATAACCCACCTGAGCCCTTCCTTCATGCTCAGTCCTTTCATAAGCATCGGACTACACAGGAATACAGTCCTTCGAGGAAATTTGAAAGCAAGCCATGATCTGTCTAGTTCCTAAATCCCTATCCTGGCTCTCAGAGAGCTTGCAGTCTGTTGGAGAAATGAAAAGGCAGCAAACATTTATTTATATGAAGTGATCAGTGCTGCACATGGAGAGTAGACTTCTTGTGGAGTAGTGGGGAAGGGCCATTAAGAGCCCATATGAGCGCCTTTGGGTGAATTAGGAAAAGGTGCTGCTTCCTCTGGCCTGAGGCTCTGTGACAGGCCACTATCTGCCAAGAAGAAATCTATTTTAGCTCTTTTTTGCCTCCTTGGTGAGAGAACCTTGCACAGGATATTGCCTGCACAGTCTCACACACTTGGAGGGAGGTAGAGTTGGGAGGACTTTAACCACAGAGGAAGTGATTCCTGAGTTGCATCTTGAAGGAAGTGGAGGAAATCAAAAATAACTTAAGATAGTAAAATTGTTTTTACTTTATATCAAAGACACAATGAACAATTGATATCAAAGCCAAATACCTTTTCTTACATGATAAGCCAAAATACTTGTACTACCAATGGACCTTGTTTCTTAAGTATTTAAACACTAAACAAAAGCATTATTGTTGTCGGAGGAGAATACTTTAAAGTGTGGCAGAGTATGTCATAAAGTTTAGTAACATGGACTCCGGAACCAAATTGCCTGGATTCAAATTCTAGCTCCACCATATACTAGACATCACCTTAATTTCAGTTTTCACAACCATAAAATGGTGATAACAATAGTACTAATTTATCGGATTGTTGTGAGGAATAATGAATTATGTTTTAAGTGTTTAGAGAAGTACTTGGCACATAATAAGCACTATTTTAAGCATCAGCTATATTTGCCTACATGCATATGTAGTTCCATACACATAGACATACACACACACACACACAAGTTGAAGAACTACAATATTATGTAGAACTACAATTGATGCATAGGAAGCACTGACTATCCAGTAGTTTTTTATTTCTTATGAAATATTAATTTTAAAAGTAATAATTTACACTGAGAGTGTCCTGGTCCTGGGTAAGGTGGACTGAGCACACTGCACCCTGTCTTTCCCAGTGATAGCTGCTGTAAACAAGAACAGTGTGCCTAGAGCAGCAGTTTGAGGTGTCTAAAAAGTGAATAGTAGCAGGCAGATTGGAGAAGGAGCCCAAAATGTGGAGTACTCCCAAACATGTTTACCTTTTTTTCCCCCTCCCAATACCTCCTAGTATGGATTCAGAAAGCATAAAACCCAGAAGTGACATTGGCCTGTATAGAAAGAACTACATGAACAACCTTTAGTTCAGGCTCAGGAAGTGGAGAAGGGATCTAATGCTCAGAGTGGCAGTGGAAGTGTCCCTTTAAAAAAATATTCTGTTTTCGTGTGCCCTGACAATTGCAGCAGGGTCTGCAAGAGTCTAAAACTCTGAGGGAGGAGAAATTTTCTCTGTGATTGGAGAAGCTGTGTTCCCCAGAGGGTGGGGTGCTTCTGCCCTCTTCCTGCTTTTCCCCAGAGGCTAGGTACAGTTGTGGCAAATGCACAGTGGGATAGGATAAATAAGCCCCAGTTACCTGGCCAGTGGACTAAAAAGGGGAGCCCCAGGGAAACGGAGGATACTGGAGAGATCACAGAGAGGGCGGAGCTTTGGCAATCAAACCACATAAAATGGTTTATGAACTCCGGGCTTACTCTGAGTTGCTCATGCATGTATCTAAAACTAAGGATTAGACCAATGTCCATGAGTGGGTACACAAGTAGGATGGAGGTTAATATCACTACAAAGGCTTTGAAAATGTAACTGCGTTTGAAACACAGCTCACAGAGGGCTGGTTAGAACTTGGAGTTTGAACACAATATCAACCTTCTCCATAGAATTTAAACAAGACATAGAGTCTCATAACATCCAAAATGTCATGGATACAATCCAAAATTACTTAGGTTAAAAACTAGGAAAATTTCAATTCATACGGGGAAAGACAATCACCAAATGCTAACATTGATGTGCCACAGATGTTGGAATTATCTGATAATAACGATGAAGCAGCTATTATAAAAATGCTCCAAGTAAGGGTGAACATTCTTGAAACAGAGAGTCTCAGCAAAGAAAGAGAAAATATCAAGAAATGACAACTATAATAACCAAAATAAGCTCATTGGGTCAGCTTAGTGGCACAGTGGGGATGACAAAGAAAAGAGTAAATGTGAAGGCAAATAGAAACTATCTAATTTAAATAACGGAAAAAAAGATTAAACAGAGTCTCAGAGCCCTGTAAGACAATGCCAAAATATTTAACATTTATATCATTGAATCCCAAAGAAAGAGAAAAAAGTGGAGCGGAAAAAATATTTGAAGAAATAATGCCTGAAAAATTACCAACTTTAGTAAAAGGCACAAACCTGTGGATCCACAAAGTTTAGCAAACTCCAATGTGAAAAATGCAAAGAAATCTTTGCCAGGACACTTTGTAATCAGACTGCTGAAAACTAAAGAAATGAAAAAACCTCAAAAAACAATGTTTAGCATAAAGAGCAATGGTGATTTGAAAAACTGTGGATTTCTTATCAGAAACCATGGAAGTCAGAAGAAAGTAGAACTTTTCTTAAGTACGTAAAGAAAAGAACTGTGTCCAGTAAAATTAGCCTTCAAGAATGAAGGTGAAATAGTTTCTCATATGAAGGAAAACTAAGACTGTTCATTGACAGATTTCTAGAGGGATTGCCAAAGAAATTTCTTCACATAGAAATTATACCAGAAGAGAATTTGGAATATCAGGAATGAAAGAAATGCAACAGAAATAGTAAATATGTGTATGTAAATACAAGAGATTGTTCTTTTGAGTTATTTAAAACAAAACTAATAGGCTTCATGAAAAGAACAGGATTTGAACTTAGCTGGTCTGGCTTCAGAGACCATGTTCTTAAATACGATACTATACTGAAATTAGATAAAATATAAGTGAACTCTTATTGAAGTATTGAACCAAATGTTTCACCTGTTTTTGACCCCATCCTCCTTCTCTTTCCCATCCTCTCTTCGTCATTATCCTAGGTAACAATTCTTGAGCATTTAGCCAGGTACTGTCCCTGTTATTTCATTTAATTCTCACAGTGCTACTATGAAGTAGGTACTAACATTATTCCCATTTTTCAGGTGGGTAAACTGAGGCACTGGAGAGTTAATTAAGTTGGCCAAGATCATCCAGCTAGTCAGTACCAGAGTCTGAATTCTTTAGAATAGTCTGACCTTTTTCTCTGATGGTTATTTAAAACTCATTCTTAGATGTCGATGTAAGTGAAATCACAAAATAAGAAATGGAAAATCTGCAGGCAGCACCCACAGAATGGATGACTGATATCACTTGCTGGTTGGTTAGGACATTCAGCCCATGTAGCAAAACACAGGTTGCATGACATGTGCTTACCTCATATGATCTCTCTTAATACTTCTTAGCAGATCATCAAAAACCAACTTTCCAAATGTCTTCTCTCATAATACAAATACGCTTTTATTTCAAAAGAAAAGAATGTTGCTAGGCATTTTTTTTTCTTTCATTTTTTAGGCACACCTTTTAACATCTCAAGAACACTAAGATTTTTTAGAATATATTGTGGAGATTGAAATCATGTTCTTCAGGTCAGCATCCTTCTTTGAAACTTTCCCTCACAGTCCCAGAGCTCTTTAATTTCTCTGTGTAGAAAAGTGATCTAGCTCCTACCACAGATAAAATAATTTAGTACTGAATGATATTCTGTTTTAAATGTCATGAACATGTTTTCATAAACAGTCATTTCATAAAATTGTAAATGCTCCAAATGTGGAGAGTGTCAGTCATATATTTTTTTTCATATGTAAAGTACACTCTTTCGAATTTGGGGAGCTTTAGCTCCCTACAGTCAGTCATATATTTTTTTTCATATGTAAAGTGTACCTAGGCTGAAAAGTTATCCAGTAACTAACCACCTCACCTGGATCATTTAGACCTTCAGTACATTTATGTACGCACAATGTTTTTTTCCCCCCAAAGTGTGAACAGTGTAATCCTTTACCTTCGATCCATCTAAGTAAGTGCATGAACACTGATTGAACAGGATTGTATTTCTGTCACTTCAGGATTCAATGACTTTCACAGATGTGGCCATAGACTTCTCTCAAGATGAGTGGGAATGGCTGAATCTTGCTCAAAGGACTTTGTACAAGAAGGTGATGTTGGAGAACTACAGGAATCTGGTTTCCGTGGGTAAGAGTATCTTCCTCCCCATAGGAGTCTTTCCATCTCAGTCATCTTTCATGCCTTTATCAGTATATTCCTACAATGTCACTCTTCTTTCAATACCATTTGGACTCTCATACCTCTGGAATAGCCACAGCCAGTTTTTTTATCTTTCTTATGCAGGTCTTTGCATTTCTAAACCAGATGTGATCTCCTTATTGGAGCAAGGCAAAGAGCCTTGGGTGGTGAATAGAGACGTGACAGCAGGCTCATGCCCAAGTAAGTCCAGAATTACTAGAGCTGGGGAAACTATTCTCAAGGTGTTTCTTCACTCTAAGACTTGTTGGAAAACACTTCTCAAAATTGCCCCCCAATTTTATTTTTTTAAATATTGGGCTTCCCTGTGGAACATATATACAATGGAATATTACTCAGCCATAAAAAGAGATGAAATGCTGCCACTTGCAACAACATGGATGGACCTCGAGATAATCATGCTAAACAAAATAAGCCAGACAGAAAAAGTTGAAAATCACATGATATCACTTATATGTGAGATAGAAACCTAAAAGCAACAAATGAACAGGACAAACAAACAGAGACTCATGGACATGGACTATAGACTAGTGGTTACCAGAGGACTATAGAGTAGTGGTTACTAGTGGGGCGGGGAGGAGGGGGAAGTAGACGGGGTGAAGGGATCAAATATAGGGTTTAGCAGGAGGGTGAAGTGGGTATAAGGGATCAAATATATGGTTGCTGAAGGAAACTGGACTTTGGATGGTAAACACACAGTAGAATATACAGATGTCAAATGATAATGTACACCTGAAAATTATATAATTGTATTAACCAATGTTACCTCAATAAACTTAAAAATAAACAAACAAACAAATAAATAAATACTGGGCTTCCTGGGCATCTGGGCATGCCTGTGCACAATGAGACTGGCACTGTTTAGCAAATGCCTTAGTTCTATCACCATGATTCCTATAACTCAGATAGCAGAAACAGTTTGTTCCTTTCTCTTGTTGTACAAAAAATCTCTCCTAAACACCATTTCTAAACAGATCTTCCCTTCCCTACTGGTATGACCAACCACCTTTACTTTTACTGATTTCCTACAAATCCCACAGCTTGTTTCTGAACCCTTTTATGTTCCACTGATGTTTACCTAGTTTTGCTCCAGTATTATATTGTTTTAATCATTGCTGACTTTCAGCATTTCTGAATTCTTCAGACAAATTTGTATTTAGGTTTTTGAACTGGTTTTTAAGTATTTTATTTTCTTTATAATGTGAGTTTACTGGGTTACAAAGTATTTTAGCTCTGTTCTTCCCTCTGCTTTTCATTATTTTTCTCCTTGTTGCTTTTTATTGTTGTTGTTATTTATTCTTGCTTTGTTGTTTATGTCTGATTTTTTCCCTTTCATGTTATCCCATGCCTTGAATTGGAAAGGTTTTTAGTCCCAAAAGTTGTTACCTTTATGATTTCATATATTTTTAAATCTGTATTTTAAAATTCATCCACTTGAGATTCAAAACATTATCTTTTGATATGCATATGAAAGATGAAGAAATTAGCTCACTAATTTGCCTTCTTCCTCTTTGTTTATCATCTCCCCACTTTTATTTTAGTCATTGAGACTTTTGGCCCAGTTTATTTTCTTCAAATGTAATTATTAATTTTTCCCTGCCTTGCTTGAAAGCTGTTTTTCTGGTTAAGAAAACTAGTTAACAGCTTATAGATATGTATTGCAGGGAAATGAGCCTCACATGAGATGGTTAGCGTTTGTTCTGTGGCTGTAGTATGGCCTTTTCCTGTTGTCAGTTCTCATATTTTCAAGAAGAGGATTGTTGGTAGGTCACTTATAGCCCTAATAATGTACATTAATACATAAATAAAAAAAAATAAGTGAATTAAGTATCCAATTCTAGATATTAGACAAAACAAAATGAATCTTAAGGAAAACCAAAATAAATCATGTATACTGATATATACTGCTAGAGAGAAAAGTAAGGGATACATGAGTTAGAAAATAGTAGATTTAATGAAATCTGTGCTTCTGTAGAAAACCAGTAAAATATATAAACTGTCAGGACAAATGATAGAAAACACAGGAAAAGAAAGAATCCTAAATAACCTCTAATGCATAAGTACTTAAAAGAATCATCAGAATTTATTTTTCTCAACTTTCTGTAAATAATTTGAAAACTTCGATGAAACAGATGACATTTTAGGAGAATATAAATTACCACAACTGACACCAGAAGAGAGAAAATTTCAATAGACCAGTTACCATTGAAGAAATGTAGAAACTTATCTAAGAACTCCCTCCCCCAAGAAAAGCAACAATGCCAAATAGTTTCACAAATAAATTTTATAAAACCTTTAAGCCAAAATTTCATCAACATTGTTTAAAATGTTTTGTGACAAAGAATAAAAATGAGAGCTTTAAAAAAAAAAATGTGTTTATAAAGATAGCATAACCTTTGATACCAAAGTCTTACCAAAATAGCACCAAAAAAGGAAATTACAGGTAAATCTCAATTATGAATATTGGTATAAAATCTTAAAGTAAAATGTCATGTTGAAATAACATACCATACTTAAGGAGAGTTTATTCCAGAAATGTAAAGGTGGTTGCATTGTCTACCTTTATCTAAAAACTGTCAAAAACATTAACCTTTATGGGTGTCAATAACTGTTTGATTCACCTGGTTTCATTTTGGAAGTTTTTGTTCTTCTAGCATTAAATGAGACATTCGCTTTCTTAATATCTTTCAGACTTGGAGTATGTGTGGATTGTCAAGGAATTATCTGCAGACTTTGACATTCATGAAGAAAAATTATCCCAGGCAATGATAATGGAAAGACTTACAAGCTATGACTTGGAGTGTTCCACATTAGGGGAAAATTGGAAATGTGAAGACCTGTTAGAGAGGGAGCCGGTAAGTCAGAAGCCACATTTTAGGCAAGAGACAGTCAGTCACTTAGATGCACTTATTGAGAAAAGAAATCATTCTAATAAATCTGGGACAGTTTTTCATCTGAGTACATTACCTTACATAAAGCAGGTATTTCCCATTGAAGAGAAGATGTGTAATTTTGACACAGATAAGAAAAGCTTTAAAACACATTCATTTGTAAAAAAACACAAGCAAGTCTCTGGAGAAAAGAAACTTTTGAAATGTAATGACTGTGAGAAAACTTTCAGCAAAATCTCAACCCTTACTCTTCATCAAAGAATTCATACTGGAGAGAAACCCTATGAATGTATTGAGTGTGGGAAAGCTTTTAGCCAGAGTGCCCACTTAGCTCAACATCAGAGAATACACACAGGAGAAAAACCTTTTGAATGTGCCGAATGTGGGAAAGCCTTCAGCCAGAATGCTCATCTTATTCAACATCAGAGAGTTCATACTGGAGAGAAGCCTTATCAGTGTAAGCAGTGCACTAAAGCCTTCAGCCAGCTTGCACACCTCGCTCAACATCAGAGAGTCCATACTGGAGAGAAACCCTATGAATGTATTGAATGTGGGAAAGCCTTTAGTGATTGTTCATCCCTAGCTCACCATCGAAGGATTCACACTGGAAAAAGACCCTATGAATGTGTCGACTGTGGGAAAGCATTCAGGCAGAATGCTTCTCTTATACGTCATCGGAGATATTATCACACTGGAGAGAAGCCCTTTGACTGTGTTGATTGTGGGAAGGCTTTCACGGATCACATAGGACTAATTCAGCATAAGAGAATTCATACTGGAGAGAGACCTTACAAATGTGATGTGTGCGGGAAGGCTTTTAGCCATGGTTCGTCCCTAACCGTTCATCAGAGAATTCACACAGGAGAGAGACCTTATGGATGTACACTCTGTGAGAAAGCCTTTAGCCATCGTGGCTCACTTACTCTTCATCAAAGGGTCCATACTGGAGAGAAACCCCATGAGTGTAAGGAATGTGGGAAAGCTTTTCGGCAGAGCACACACCTCGTGCATCATCAGAGAATTCATACAGGAGAGAAGCCTTATGAATGTAAAGAGTGCAGCAAAACCTTCAGCCAGAATGCACATCTAGCACAGCACCAGAAAATACACACTGGAGACAAACCTTATGAGTGTAAGGAATGCAGTAAGGCCTTCAGTCAAATTGCACATCTCGTTCAACACCAGAGGGTTCATACTGGTGAGAAGCCCTATGTATGTGTTGAATGTGGGAAGGCCTTTAGTGATGGCTCCTACCTCGTTCAACACCAGAGACTCCACACTGGCAAAAGACCCTTTGAATGTCTTGAATGTGGGAAGGCATTCAGACAGAGGGCATCCCTGATCTGTCACCAAAGGTGTCATACAGGGGAGAAACCTTATGAATGTAGTATGTGTGGGAAAACCTTTAGCCATCGTAAATCCCTTACTCTGCATCAAAGAACTCATACAGGGGAGAAACCTTTTGAGTGTCAGGAATGTAGCAAAGCCTTCAGTCAGATTGCTCATCTCACGCTACATAAGAGGATTCACACCGGAGAAAGGCCCTATGAATGTAAAGAATGTGGGAAAGCCTTCAGGCAGAGTGTACATCTCACTCATCATCAGCGAATTCATACTGGAGAGTCATCCTCAAGTCTTTCCTCCTCCTCAGGTCCTCTAGATTCAATCTTCTAAATACCTCTAGAATCCATCCATTTTGTTCCAATCCATGTCCCATCACCTGTAGTCCAACATGCAACCATCTCATTTGGATTTCTGCAGTAGCATCATGGCCACTTTTCCCTCCTCCTCCCCCTCAAGTGCATTTTAGCACTGTAGCCAGCTTAATTTCTTAAATATAAAAATCTATATTCATGTTACTTTTTCACTCAAAACACGTTTTGAAGAATATGCTAGATAATCTATGTAAAGGGCTTAGCACACAATCCTTGCCATATAATTAGTGCCATCAGGTAAATGTTTCCTTACAATCATGTTTAGTTGCAAGTAGAATGAACCAGTAAAGGTCAAAACTAAAACCACTCTACTGTCCCAGTAAGTGGGAAAGACGTACATATTCAGAATTGAAGATTGTATGACATACAAGGTCCCACAGTGGCTTAAAGCTCCCTCTGTGTGAGTAAATATAAAGACATATAGCCTTGTTGGTGAGGAACTCTCCCTGCACCTTGCACTTAGAAGTGAGAAAGGGCCAATTAGAACAAAAGCATTTGGTAGAATGTAGGACTAAACAGAGGGCAGTATTTAAAACAAAATAAAGAAAACTTAAATAGATTAATAGATAAAATAAACTGGAAAAGGTAAGTCAACACTTTCACCTGTAGAAATAAATGCACCACAGACAATTCCTATGATATTTATATTCTAGAGCATCAAATAAATACAGTCAAGCTCTCCATCTTGCTCTATGAAACTGAAGACTGATCTCAAAACAGAAAAATATATCTTGCAATTAGCTTATGAATATTGATGTTAAAATACAAACTTATTTTTTAAATATAAAAAATAGAATAAATGGAAAGGTAGCCACGTCTCTGTGTAGACTCAAGTTTGTGAAAGATATTTTTCCTCCTATTAAATATATAAATTCATTGATATTCCAACAAAAACTCCAATGTATTTTTAAGTTGACAAGCGGGTTCTGACCATCTATAGAATTGTGATACAGCAAAGAATGATAGTACTCATTCAATTAAGATTAATTGAGCATTTACTAACGTGCCAAGCACTGTTTTATGTGCTGGGATACATCAAGGTGCAAAATGTGCAAACAGTTTCTGCCCTCAGATCTCGTAGGACAATACCCCCAAAAAGTGAAATACTATGTAGTAAGTACATGACATGTATGATGAGAAGTGATCTAAAAAAAGAGCTAGGGAGTTCTGGGAGGAGTGCCTTACTACCTCTAGAACATGTGGGCATTAGCAGTGGCAGCGGGGAGAGGAACGAAAGGTAACAGACACAAGGTATAATGAGAAGTCATGGCAGGAAGTGACGACATTGTTGCAGAAAGAGAAAATTGATGGTTTAACAGGGGGTTTAATAAGGATCATGAGAGTTCTAGCCACTCTTTATCAATGGTGATTTAGAGGCTGGTGGAGGATATTTTTTATAACAGCCTTATTGAGATAAAATTCACATACCTTGTAATCAGCCATTAATGACTTTTATGTTGAGTTGTGCTACCATCGCCACAGTTAATTTTAGAGCATTTTCATCACCCAAGAAATCCCATGCCCTTTAGCGGTCCCTCCAGCCCTGGAGGAGTTCTCATACCTGGAGCACCAGAGCTCTTGGGTTCCCTCTTGACTGCTGCTGGCGGCTCTTATCCAGGCCAATGGCATTATAGAGGGCTATGTGAGGGCAGCTCTTATCCAGAAGACATGACTACTAGAAAGTGGAGCTTTAGGGCTCCATCTTTATTTTGGCACAGAAGCAAAGAGATGATCTCATCCAAAGTATGTGGAGCTTCTAGGCACTCCGTATATATGATAAGGAGGATTCTTCATTGCATTTGGGAAAGATGGAGTGATCAAATGGCGTTGGGACAATTAACTCTGAAGAGACATAGATCTATCCTTAGCACACTAATGAAACTCTGAAAGATTAATGACATAAATGTAAGATATTAAAGTACAAGAAAAACTTAGAACGTTTTTATAACCTTGGCTTGTGGCAGACCTTCTTAAACATCATACACAACCCAGGAGCTGACATTAAACTACCATTTATGTGTGGAAAACATCAGAGTCCATTGACAGACAAATGAGAGACTGAAAGAAAATGTTTAAAACAAATAAAGGATAATAATCCCTGATAGTCAAAGCACTAGTACAAATAAATAATAGTAACATCTGCAACTCAGTAGAAAAATGGACAAAACTAACAGCCAGTTCAAAGAAGAGAGAATAAAAACAGCTGATGAAAATTACCCAATATCACCAATAACCAGGAAAATCCAAAATAAAGTGATGACATATCAATAGATTGATTCCCCCAATAGATTGATTTTAAATCATAGAAAAGCAATAATATCATTTCGGAAAATGTGGAAAACAAGGCAATTCCATTGTCAGTTATATAAGTTGCCATATGTACATAACCATTTGAATCAATATTCCTCAGAAACCAAAATAGGTAAATGTATAATGGCAAAAAAGTTTTTTTAATGGTAAACTATTAGGGTAATGAGAAAAGGGTAAGTTAATTATTCTGTATTCATTCAATAGAATTATATGTATTTGTCAAAGAAAATATAAATGTGTATATAGCCATAAAGAAATACCTATGCTATACTAAATGAAAACATTTTCAGATCTGTATTCTAGTATAAACTCATCAAAAATAAAACCTAAAAAATATATTTTTGTTTTTCTCTGCTCGGTTTTCTTTGCCTCCTCCTGTTGCCTACACCATCTCTTCTTTTGCTTGGAGTAACTGGCATATGGTTCTGACGGACCTGGCCAATCACATTCTCTGGAGTTTGAAAGGCCATTGGATCTCTGTCATTCAGTGGCAGCTAGCTCTCTAAAGAGGTGATGCTGGTGTTCTTGTGGTTGTGATCTTTGGAGCCACCCTAGATTTTATGCTTTCTAAGGCTGTACTGTCTCAAACTACCCATTAGCTTCCCAATACTTCATTTTTGGCTTATATTGCTCATTTGGCAGCAATTAAAGAAATTTATAGACAATACAGAATTTGGTGTGAAGATAGGCAATAGAATCTTGGGGAAATCTGGTGTGAAGATAGGCAATAGAATCTTGGGGAAATCTGAAGTGTTTGGGGATTGGTTTTGGGGTGAGATGGGGCAAGTAAGACCCCTGTTTCTGTTCTAGCCTAGAGAAGTGATAGCTCACATGTCCTGGGCAAACACACAAGTGAATTATTATTTGGAGTCACTGAGAGGAGGAGAGGTCTAGGGTCCTGAATAATGACAGTTTTAAGAGAAAGAGGCATACTAAGTCCAAAGAGTGTATATAGTGCTGGTGTCTAACTGCTTTGTGTAATTTAAAATTCAGATCATGAACTTCTAGCATCAAGGCAAAAACTTTCAAATAAGAGTCTGTGTATGACATTGCTGAAGGATGTCTTAGGCTGTTTGAAGTCAGAAGGTTAAGATTGCTAAAAACCCAGTAGAGAGACTCCTTTTATGGGTTGCTGATAAAATAGGATGCTGGTTAAATTCCATGTTTTTTTGTAGAGTGGTTATGGACTGAATTTTATTACTCCCCCATTCCAAATTTATGTGTTGAAGCCCTAAATTCCAATGTGACTGTATTTGGAAATGGAATCTTTAAGGAGAAAATGAAGGTTAAATGAGGTAGTATAGATTGGACCTTAATCTGATAGGACTGATGTTCTCATAAGAAGGGGAAGACACACCAAAGCCACTGAGAGAAGTTGTGGCAACTGAGAAATGTTTTTGGCAATTTACCACAGAAGGGCTGACCTTTACAGGAAGTTGGTCTGGAGGTAACACTGGAGCCATGTGACAAGTTGAGGGAATAAACATTTCTACATCACAGCAGGAAACACTCCCATCATCCACTCCAGATGTGGCCTTCACATGAAGTGTTTGTGTTCCCTGTATCCAAGGAGCCTGGAACTTAGAGTGCATGTACCTCATGGACTGTTCTGGAACACTCCTCATAAGAGCAATAGGTTGTCATCTGTGGACTGCTATTCGTGCCACTAGAAGTTATGAATATGATTTAGAACACATTGTTCTGAAAACATGAAACAGGTAAGGTTTTCTTGGGGGGGGTCCATAAAAATCAATTATATAAACTCATCAGTTGAAACCATTTTTTAAAATCAGCTGTCAGAATATTTTCTTCTTTGGAAAACAAAAATTTAGATATCCTGTAAATCTTGCTTTGATAAGTGGGTCAGGAAGAACAAGGGTTTTGAGAACAAGACTCAAGATGAAGTGATGAAGTAATCTTTTAAAATGCATGAATATTTTGTAAATAGCTAAATGCACAAAAAGTTGCTAATTGTTCCAGACCTCCAGAAAGTAACAAGGGAAAAAAAAATTATCAGAATCTAAATTTTTAAAAAAGAAGAAAAAAGAACTGCATATAAAAATTGGATACTAGCTCACTCTGGGCTCTTGGCCCTGAGGGTATGAGGGGAGGCTCAGCTTGCTCCCCTCCCCCGACTATGCCCTTGCAGAGGCTCTGCCTCTGGAGAGGTCACATGATGGTTAAATCAGAGGGGAGAGTGGTTGCTGGGTTCAGGAACACAGGCCCCTGCTCTGAGGTTTGGAAGGTTGGAAACAGCCCTGGGAAGGGGACAGTCTGCTCATATGGTATAGAAGATCCCGATGGGGTTGCAGGTGACAGAAAAGGAAGCCAGCCCCCTGAGCAGGGTGAGGCCCTGGGGCCACAGCTCCCCCTTCCCCACAGGGACAGTGCTATAGACTGGATGTGTCACCCACCCCAGAATCATATGCTAAAACCTAATCCCTAAGAGAATGGTATTAGGAGGTGGGGGGTCTCGGGGAGGTGACACCAGCCCAGCTCACCGAGGGCCCACACTCCATTCTTTGTATCTTCCCCCAAACCAATTCCATATCTGGGACATACACTGAGCACCCATATTGGTAATTCTGACAGTAGGTCCTCTCTTTGCCTTAGATGTCCCCTTGGCCCCCATCTGGGCATCTCTGGCACTCAGAAGGGCCCCTAGAAGGCAAATGTGGAGAGTTATTGTTCAAGGGGTAAAAAGTTTTAGTTATGTAAGATAAGTAAGTTCTAGAAATCTCCTATACAACACTGTGCCTGTAGTTAACAATACTGTATTGTACACTTAAAATTTTGTTAGGAGGGTAGATCTCATATTAAGTGTTCTTATCACGATAAAAAGGAAACCTGGAATAGCCCTAAGCTGGAAACATTCGAGATGTGGTACCCAAATTGTGCATTGATACCATGGAATAGCCCTTAACAATATAATTATGAACTACATACAGTAACATCTTGGATACATTTCCAGAGAATTATGTTGAATAAATAAAATGCCTATTATGTAATGGTTTTAAAATTATAGATATGGAGAATGAGTTGGTGATAGTCAGGAACTAAAGAAGGTTGGGGTCTGGAGGCAAGTGGGTGTGGCTAGGAAAGGGGGTGCTGCATGAAGCATCCTCGTGGTGATGGACGTGTTCTGTATCTTGACAGTATCATTATTAATATCCTATTTGTGGTATTGCAAGATTTCATTGTTGAGGGAATTCAATATTGAGCATGTGGGATCTCTCTATGGTTTCAGTATTGTTAGAATTGCCTGTGAATCTCTTCATCTCAAAATAAAATACTTAACTAAACAATCATTAATCACCACCTAAGGAGAGCTATGCTTTGCATTTTTGCGGTCACTAATACATTCAGCAAATGCTTCTGTACTTGGCTTTGTGGTTTATGGTGTAAGAGGGCCCCAGTTCCTTTGACCGCTCTGGCCTCCACCACTTTCCTCATCTGGAAAGTAGCTTGGTTGTGAGAATTAAAGGAGTTCATAAATCATAAAATGCCAAGAACAGAAGCAGACACACAGGCGACTCATTATACGAAGTTTATACTTTTTTTCTTATTATGATCATTTGCTTCTTTGCCTCTTTATGCTTTACCAATTTTCTAAAAATCAGTATGATTATCAGGTTCAAGAAAGTCGCCCAGGACTCCTTGGCTGGGCTGCAGAATATCTGGAGATGCGCTATAGCTTCTCTCCACCTCCACACACGCCCCCTCCTTTTCTGGAATTCCCCCTCCTCCCACCCTTTATTTCTCTCCTCCCTCCCCTCCTCCCAGCCCAGCCTACTTCTACTCTTTTTGCTCCTCCTCCTGCCCTTTTCCTCTTACAGTTCTCTCCTCCTCATCCCTCTGCCCATTTGTCCTTATTTCTTCCCGCTCGCTTCCTCCTCTCACCCTCCCTCACTATTCCTTCTCTCACCTCTTCTCATGGGGTACTTCCATCTTCCCTTCTCATCCCTCCTACCCCTCTCATCTTCCTATCCCCCCTTCCCTCTCCTCCCTCTTCCATCCTTCCTCTCTCCCTATCCTTCCCCTTCCCCTCCTCCCCGTCCCTCCGCGTCCCTCTCCTCTGTCCCCAATCCCTGATCTGTCTGTCCCTCGTCATCCTCCAGCTCGTTCCTACCTCTGGCTCTTCCCCTGCCGTCTTCCCGACTCCTCTATACGCCCTTCCCGTCAATCTCCCAGAAACCCCACCCCTTGGCTGGGGTGCCGCGAAGCCCTCTGAGAGATGGAGGCGCGCGGTCGGGTCTCGGGTTCCGGTCCTTTCCGCTCCGCTCGGCGGGGAGGAGGCGGCGCTCAGGCTTCTGGGAAGTGTAGTCGGCCCAGGCGCGCGGGCGCAGCGCGGCGGGGCGGGCCTAGCGGGCGCGGGTCATTGTCCTGACAGAGCCGGGTGGTGAGACCCGCTGCAGGCGGGCAGGCGGGAAGAAAGGGGGAGGGGCGGGATGAGGTGGGGCGTGCGGGCTGAGGGGGAGCGTGTGGGCTAGGGGAGTGTGCCGGCTGGGGGGTGGCGTGGGGGCTGAGAGGCGTGAGGGCTGAGGGGAGGACGTGTATGCTGAGTGGCGTGGGGGCTGAGGGGAGTGTGGGGCCCAGGTGAGGGGCAGACTGAGGGGAGGGCGTGCGGCCCAGGAAAGGGTTTAAGGACCAGGAGAAGAGAGCTGTGATGACCTCATCTGACTGGGTGAGGTCGAAGGTGGACCTGTGTGCTGGTGACTGTATGTATTAGGCTGAAACTAGGGGCTGCGTATGTCTGTGTGTGTCCCACTATGTATGGCCTCCTGTGTCCTTGCCTGTGCACGTGTCTGTGTGTCTGTGTGTGTGTGTGTGCGTGCGCGCGCTACCTGTCTTGGTCTCTTTCGGGGTCTCTGTGGCCAGCATCCACCGCTGTCTAGCCTTTACCTGTCTCTGTGGGGGAGGTCTCTGAGTGACCGCCTGTGTCCATGTCTGTGTGTGTCTGCCTTTATTTCTGTCCATGGTGTCTCAGTCTGAGGGTGCCAGTGGGTGTCTACCCGTGTCTCGTCTTTCCCTCTGTATCTGTGTCTCTGGGTGTGAGTATGTCTGTGAGAGTGGGGAGTGTTTCTCCTGTCTGTGTCTTTATGTGCCCACCTGTATCTGTGTCTCTGGATGTTGCTGAGTGTTTGTGTGTGACTGTCGGGGCAGATTAAGTGTGTGGGTGCATCTGGGTGTGCCCTCCCAAAAGCATGTGTGAAAGACTGCATGCCTGGACGGGTGGGCCAGGCAGAGCACCTGCCTTCTTGTTCCCACATTCCCCAGCTCCTTCCTGCCCCTCAGAGCCTTGCCTGGTGACAGGATATGGGGCTTCCCACTGGACCATCTCAAGGGAAGGAGAATGGGGTTGATTTGTTAAAGAAATTTGTGTTGGGTGCTCAGAGTGCTGTTCCTGGCACTCTCCCAAGTCTTGTTTACAGACCTCCCAGTAACTCTGAGATAGGGACCTTCAACATCCCCATTTTACAGATGGGGAAACCGAGGCAATCAGGTTCCAGAGCCCCTGCACTTAACCATCTGACAGATGGGACATTCTTGTTTCCTTTCTCTCCTCTGAGAAAAAGTTGTAGGATTTTTCCCTGTGGGAATTTCCCTGTAGAAACAATGGAAGGAAGGAAATGACAGAAAGCCTGGATTGGGGAAGAGGAGGAATGAGGGATCTCCTGGCTTTGTGGCAACACAGATCTCAGGCCACACTGGGTTCAGTGGTCACCAGCCTCATGCACATGTCACTTCCAGGGCCACTGTGCCTTCATGCCTCTTTTCTCCAAAAAAAAAATAAATAAATAAAAATAAAAATTATAGTGATTGCATTAATATAAGGACAAAGATAATCCAAGCTGGATTAGAGTCTTTTTTTCTTATAATTTTAAAAGAAATGAAGACATTTTCATGGGCCACTCCAGGTATCAGGGGCTCTGGGCCCAGAGTGCCTCCTGGGTAAATGGGCTCTGGTCACTTCCACATCCAGCAAAAGGAATGGGTGTTGTTGACTGTCAGAGACTGATAGTCCAAAAGATATATATTTTTAAAATTAAATTCTGCTTAATAAATTATGACAGTAATATGAAGTCACTGCACCCAGAGACACAAAGGAATACAAGGGGAAAAAAACTGATACCCCCTTTCGCATTTCCTCTCCCCTCGGGACACCAGTCACTATCCATCATTCCACAGCCTTCCCCAGGCTTGGAAACACTGCCCAGAAGCACAGGTACCCAGGAGTGTTGGTTGTTTTCACACAGAGGGGTTAAAGTTATGTAGAAAACCATGGAACTTGCTTTCCTCATTTAATGACATCACAGATATGTCCACAGGTTAGGAACTAACTCCTACTTCCTAGGGCAACCTGGTATTTCAAACGATGCCTTGCCATTTGTCTGACCCTTCCTTTACTGATGGCTAGATTTTGTCTCCAGGGCTTTTCTGTTGGTTGGTTGGTTGGTTTGTGCTTTGCCTCTAGGAACAGTGAGTGCTACAATAAACATCTTTTGTCCACGTATAACTTTTCACATGGAGCTTTTAGGCGGAGTCCCAGGACCAGGGTTGCTGGGTTATGGGTTAGTCCACTTTCCAGCTCATTCTCCAGAAAGGTTGAGGGGCTTTTGTTCCTTCAGCTGTGTGTGGGAGGCCCGTTTCCTTGCATCTTTGCTTGTGCTAGAAGTTGGCTCATTTATTCATAACTTTTTTTTTTTTCAATGTGTGGTTGCCTTCCATGTGCCAGATATTGTCCTAGGTGCTAGAGACACAATCCAAAATGATCATCTCAGTTCTGCCCCTGAAGGTACCCCCCGGGCAACTGCATCCCGCTCATTGGAACATACTCAACTAACAACAGTAATAGTAAATAACAGCTAATCTGTATTAGTTCTTACAGTGTGCTGCACAGCCCCCAAGCTCCTTATGAGTATCAATTAGTTGAAACTTTCAGTAACTCCATGAGATCTGGGGGAGCCCCAGAGGGGTGGGGGTGGCGTTGGGGCATTGTGGGGCCTTGGGCCAGCCCTCAGACCCAGGGAGAGGCACAGGGCCCTGTTGTTCCCTCCAGCTTGTGGTACTGGCAATGTGTGTGCGTGTTGGGGGTGTATTGGTGTGTGGGTGTCTGGGCATGCATTTGGGGGACAATAAGCTCGTGGACCGGGATGTTCTCAGCCCATCTCCAATCCCAGCTCTGTAATCTTAGATGAGTGGCTTATCTCTTTGGGCCTTCGTTTCCTCATCTATGAAATGGGGTGGGTAGAAATAGTACCTTGTAGGGGTGTTAGGAACAATGAGAGGCGTTTGTTAAGTGCCTTGCATCTGATAGGCCCCTTACGTATTCGCTATTAATGTGTCTGCGTGTCCGTCTGTCCTGTCTGCATTGTGAGGCAGGCCTAGACCTGCTCTCTCACTGTGCCTCCCTTTTTCTCTCCCCACCCCACAGGCTGCCTGTCCCCCGCTCACTGGTCACTGTGGGCAGTGAAGGGATGGCCACCCAGCCGCTGACTGATGAGGCCCTGGTGAGTCATGTCATCTTCTCACATTCCCTTCCTGAGGCTCAGGCCCAAAGAGTGGGGCTTTTTGTCCAGGGATGACCTTATGCTCACCTGAGCCCCCCACAGGATCAAGGGCCCTGGCCAAGTCTCCTGGGAGCTGTGTCCACCCTGAGGAGGAATGGTAGTGCCTTGACACTGGCTTCAGTCAACAGAGGACAGGACAACTCAGGAGTGACCTGTCCTGGAGACACTGGTGGGCTCACCTGGGAAGTGGTGGCTTAAACATGTAACATCAAGTGTGAAAAAGGACCCTGTAGAGGGGCCCAGACAATACAGTGCTGGACACGTGACTTTCAAAAGTGGGCAGATAGCACTAATGTTTGGGAATGGGGAGAAGGACACTTGTAGGTAGGGGCACGTGTACGTCCCCAGCTCACGCCATGATGTTTTATGGTATTTCAAAGGGTGGTATGGATATGGCTATTTGTGGTATTTTTCTCTAAACTTTCTTTTATGCAAGAACTATTTCATAATTAAAAAATTACACAGGCATAAATTTTGTATGATTTATTCAAGAGTGGTTCCTTGCAGAGGTAGGTTGGGGTGAGTATTTTTAAGGCCTTTCATAAAGCTTCATAGTTCTCTCTCCTTTGGTTTGGGCACTTTATTCTCCCACCAGGATGCAGGAGAGGCTGCCACTGGTTTATGTCAGCCATTGTCAGGTATTTATTCTGCTCACTGGATATAAATGACAAATGGTATAAACCTGGAGCAGGGTAGGTGACAACTGGTATCATGTGATCTCTGAGTAGCATCATTTGTATTATTAGTGAGTTTCGATTTTAAGGAAATGTTTCTTAGCCATTTCTGTGGGCAGGTAAATTATCCTGTGCTTTGCCGTTCTACAGGAATCTTAATATTCTGGAAGTTTTTAAAGAATGTGTATGTGTGTGTATGTGTGTATATATATTTGTGGCAAATATTCTTCCTGGTTTGCTTTTTATTTCTTAATTTATTTTCTTTTTCATAAGTATAAAAGCATTGCATATTTTAAAAATCTAATCTATCATCTCTCCGTTTCTGGTGTCTTGAAGATGTAAAAGGGATGTCCATCCAAAGGTCGCACATCACCTATATATCTTTTTTCATTTATCATTTGGGTGTTAACAGAGAACTTTTGAGACTTTTGTTTCCACCTGGAATTTGTCTTGCTGTACAAATATGTCAGTTCACTTACCCGTGAGTTTTGGTTTGTTGTGTTCCCATTAACACCTTTATCGAGATACACCCCACATATCACAAAATACAATTCATTGCTTTTTTGGTATAGTCACAGAATTGTGCAACCATCACCACAGTCAATTCTAGAATATTTTCATCACCCCAAGAAGGAACCGTGTATCCATCACCACTCACTCTCACTTCCCCTCATCAACTCGTAGCCCCGGCAACCACTAATTTACTTTTTGTCTCTGGATTGGCCTATTCTGGACATTTTGTATAAGTGGAATCATACACTATGTGGTCTTTTACATGTGGCTTCTTTCATGGAGCATGTTTTTGATGTTCACATATGGTGTAATGTGTGCTTTGTTTGTTTTCATAGCTGAATAATATTCCATCGTATGGGTAGAGTATATATTATTTATTCATTCATCAGGTGGTGGACATTTGGGCTAATTCCACTTCTTGGTTATTATTGGTGATGCTGCTGTGAACAGGAGCATACAAGTGCTTTGTTTGAGCTTGTGTCTCATTTCTCTTGGGTGTAGGAGTGGAATTGCTGAGTCCTTTGTTAACTTTCTGTTTAACCATTTAAGGAACAATCGGACTGTTTTCCAACTTGGCTGCACCCTGATGTCTTCATTTTTAACCTGTCTTTGATTGTCACCTTGATTTCTTCTTTCGCCAACATTACTTAGAAGGATTTGTCCATTGTTGTCATTTCAATGTGGTTGATTTGGGGCTTAAGTTTGTTTTCATTTTTTTCTTAGTATAATTACATTCTGATTTTTTTTTTTTTAATGGAGCCTCTCTGACTTCAGCTCTTTGGAAGCAGGTGAAGTTTTCCTTGTGGTGAAATGGTTTGTGTCATTAGACAGGAAACCAAAATAGATGAAGCCCTAGAGTGAGTAGCCTCAGACACGTGCACACAAAGAACTCAAAGAGGGTCTGCTCGCTGAGGTGAAGAGGAGAGCAGCTTCTGTGTCTGCCTTCACATCCTTGCTATATGGCATGGACTCTAAGACTTCTAGGACCATCTGTTTTCTTTTCAGTAAATTCGCATGCCAGCCCGGGCTCAATACATGGAGCCTGTACAGTAAATATTTCATTGAGTGAATTCATTGAGGTGAGACATACTTAGCAAGAACTTTCAGAAGGAATTGCATTTAAAAATTAAAACAAAATAAAGGAGTCACATGGAAACTTTGGGAGATGATGGATGAGTTTATGGCCACGATGTGGTGACGGTTTCAAAGGTGTGTACTTATTTTCAAACTTACTAAGTTGTGTATGTTAAATAGATGTACCTTTTTTTATGCCAATCATACCTCAGTGAAGTGGTTTAAACAAAGAGAAATCATTAACTGAACTAACCAAAGGATGGATGGGCCAAAGACTCATATAATAATGACATAATATAGTAAGTACTACTAATAATATGATACACATGAAATGTCAAATTAATCAAATGATAATAGCAATAGTTGACATGTATTGAGCACTTACTCTAGCCACACCGCACAGTGCTGGAATCTTGTATGCAGTACCTCTTTTAATCCCCGTAACAGCTATGATGGGAGATGCTGTTCTGTGAAGTCCATTGAACAAACAGGCTCAGAAGGGTTAAGACAGAGGAGTTTAAGGAAACACAGCCGAGCGGGGGCAGAACCAAGATGTTGTCATGGGCTGCCAGACTTCTGAGCCCAGACTCGTAACCTCTGCCCGTAACTCCCTCACTACATGGTGGTGGCCCACGAGGCAGAGGAGGCCAGTACAAGCCTAGAGCCCCCAGCAGGCCCATAGGACTACAGACAGACTGGCAGCAAGTGAGGCTTCCTCTTAGGGTAGGCCATGGTTCAGGGTCCACAATGGATGCATTAGTCTGTTCAGGCTGCCATAACAAAGAGCCACACATTAGGTGACTTACACAACAGAAATCTATTGTCCCACAACTCTGGAGGGTGGAAATCGGAGATCAAGGTGTCAGCAGGGTCACGCTCCCTCTGAAGATGCCAGGGAAGGATATGTTCCCAGCCTCTCTCCCAGCTTCTGGTGGTTCCTTGGCTTGTGGTAGCATAACTCCATTCTTCACATGGCATTCTCCCTGCATGCATGTCTCTGTCCTTTTTTTATAAGGACATCAGTCATATTGCATTAGGGGCATGCCCTTCTCCAGTATGACCTCATCTTAACCATATCCACAATGACCCCGTTTCCAAAGTCCTACCCTGAGGTGCTGGTGATTAGGACTTCAACAAAGGAATTAGGAGGAGGACATAGTTCAATCCATAATAACCTCTTAGAATAGTACCTGGCACAGAGCAACTGTGTGGTGAGTGGTAGCTATTACTGCTGGGACCAACAATGTCGTCACCGTCATCATCACATCATTGGCTGCCATGTTGCTAGGCCACATTGATTTTATCAACATGATTTATGGCACTAGGTTTATGGTACAGGCCAGGAAGGCACTCCCGTTTCTACCACATGAACTTTTCACCCTTGCCCAGTGGTCGGCCATAGAAATCTCAAGTCTTGACCCAAACTCCCCCCACCCAGAATGTGCCCCCAAGGACCCAAGCACAAATTCTCCCTGCAGACTACACCCGGTGCCGCATTTCCAGTTTTCCTGGGTATCCCCGAGGTTGCCATTGCTCAGGCACCTGGAGAATTGTTCACACTTTCACATACAGATCACGGGTCAGTTGTGTGTGTTTCCATCTGCTCTCCTGTGAGGAGCTAGTTCTAGAACCTTCAATGCCTGTGTCCCAGCAGCTAGCTCAGTGCCTGCAGCTTAATGGGGGTTCGGGAAAGTTTGTTGAATTACTGGATTCCATTGAGAACCCGGCCAACCTTTGTTGGACTCCTAATGCATGTGTCACTTCACTGGGTTGTGATCATTTTTGCCTTTGGTCCCTTCCTCATTTCTCAACTCTGTGAGTTTCCGCTCTAAACAGTCCCATATTTGCTTTATTCCTGTCAGAATACTGTTCCAGTATGCTTAGGTACTGAGGACACTGTAAGTGATCAGGCCCCTCAGAACTCTGCACCTTGTTGAATCACATCAGATACATCCTGTCTGCCTCCCTTAACCCTCTCGGCTCTTCTGTGAGGAGGGCCCTGCAGTGAATGGTTATGGGTTTCCTCTTACAGGAGTCAGTGACATTCAGGGACGTAACTGTGGACTTCACCCAGGAGGAGTGGCAGCAGCTGGAGCCTGCCCAGAAGGCCCTATACAGAGATGTCATGCTGGAGACCTACAGGAACCTGGTGTCACTGGGTAAGGGCACAGCTTCACTGAACTACTCACCATAGGCCTGTCCCTTGAGGACTACAGAGAAACAAGAAAAAAGACTGACAGGTCTGACTACGTAGAAAGTTTAAATTACTCAAAGCTAAATATAAAGTTGATAGGTGATGAAATGGGGAACAGCATTACCTCATGTATAATAGTCAAAGGATTATAATTATATAAAGAACTCCTAGGAATAAATAAGAAAAAAATGGAATGATGGACCGAACTTCTGAGCTGGCAATTCATAGATGTAGGAATACACAGAGTTCCACTTTATAAAAGATTTTGAATCCTTACTAATATTCAAAGAAATACAAAGTGAGGCAAAGAAATACAGTTCTTGCCCATTAGGTACAGAGATGAAAATAATAATAATAGCCTATATTATGAGGGTGTAGAGAAGGGACTTTCATTTTAGGAGTATAAAGGTGAGGCAACTCTTTTGGAAGACAGTTTGGCATTATCAACCAAATTTTGAAGGATTGCATTTTGAGGATCTATCCTTTAGAAATCTTCCTATAAGTGTGCAAAGATTTTCATGGGATGAAAAATAAAGAGAAACGACCTAGATGCCCACCTCTGTAATACTGACAGACCATCTTAAGATGTATCAATACAATGGAAACTGTGCAGCTCTTCAGAGATGCACACTCTTTGTAGGTGCTGACATAGAAAGAGGTCCCTGGATAATACAGTTCAGTAAAAACACTTCACTTTCAAACTAGAGTATGATCTCATTTTTTTTTAACAGCTTTTGTGAAGGTATAATTGGCCTACAATTAACTGCACATAGTCAAAGCGAACAATTTGATGCATTTTGATATCTGTGTACACCCGGGAAACTACCATGTGATCCAGATAACGAACACGTCCATTAGCCCAGAACATGTCCCTTTGTAACATCTCCCTCCTTGCTCCCACACCCACAGTCCATCCCCAGGGAACCCCTGGTCACTTTATGTCACTGTCATTTAGTTTGCATGTTCTAGAATTTTATATACATGGAATCATATGACTTACACTCAGCATCATTTTTCTGAGGTTCACTCATGTTGTCATGTGTCAGTAGTTCACTTCTTTTTCATTGCCAAGTAATATTCTACTCCATGGGTAGACCACAATTTGTTTATGCCTTCAATTGTTGATGAACAGTTCTGGACTGATACAAATAAAGTTGCCATGAACGTGCATGTTCAAGTTTTTCTGTAGACATATGCTTTCCTTTCTCTTGAGTAAACATTGGGAAGTACAGTGGTTGGGTCACATGGTAGGTGTTTATTTAACTTTTTAAGAAATTGCCAAACTTTTTTCCAAAGTGGTTGTCCCATTTAACATTTCTACTAGTGGTGCACAGGGCATCCCAGTTGTTCAGTGTGCTTGTCAGAACTGAATACATGCCTTCTTTCTTATTTTAGCCATTCTTGTCAGTGTGCAGTCTTGTCACATTGCAGTTTTCATTTCATATTGAGAATCTTTTCATGTGTTTATTTGCCATCTGTATATTCTCTTTGGTGAAATATCTGTTCAAGTGTTTTACCTATTTTTTTAGTTGTTTTTTTTTTGTTACCTTATTATTGAGTTTTGGAAGTTCTTTATGTAGTCTTTTTTTTAACTTCTAGATCTAAGACCTTTATCAGATATGTGTTTTGCAACTATTCTCTGTGGGTAGTCTTTTTCTTGACAGCATCATTTGAAACACAAACATTTTTAATTGTGATGGGGTCCAATTTATTTGTTGTAGTTGTTTGTGCTTTTGGTGTCATATCTGAGAAACCGTTGCCTAACCCACGAAGTTACTCCTGTGTTTTCTTCTAAGAGTTTATAGTTTTAGCCCTTCCTTTAAGTCTTTGGTGCATTTTGAGGTTTTTTTTTTTCTGTAAATGATGTAAAAAGGGGGGCTATGTCACTCTTGAATGTGGATATTCAGGTGCCCAGCACCATTTATTGAAGAGTGGAAGTTTTTAATTTGATCAAGTCGAATTTATCAACTATTTGGTGGAGGGGGTTGTGCTTTGGGTGTCATATCTAAGAAATCTTTGCCTATCTCGAGGCAACAAAGGTTTTCTTCTGTAAGTTGTATCATTTTAGGTTTTATACTTTTGTTCTATGATCCCTTTAGAGTTAATTTTTGTAATGATGCATGATGTTCATTTAAGTTCACTTTTTTCGTCAAATGGGTGTCCATTTGTTCCACTGCCATTTTTTGAAAAGAATGAGTTTTTCCACTGAAAAATTTTCCCCAAATTTTCTCCACTGAATTGCCTTTGCACTTTTGTCAAAAATTAGTTATCCGCATTTGCATGGGTCTGATCCTGGACTCGATTCTGTTCATCCATCTATTTGTCTGTCTTGACAGCAACCATGCCACTTGATCTGCTTTCAGGTTTTGCCTTTAACTTGCGCTCAGTCTAGAATGACTTACTCTCCACAAGACCCTCTGGGTGTTGTGCCCAATGCCCCATCAGTTACCCGGTGTGAGCACCCATGAGTTACCTGGCTGGCCGGTGTGAGAAGGCACTATTCCCAGCCCTGCATCAGCTCCAGGGACTGTTTTCAAATCCTTTTAGGTGGTTTCCCGGCCCCGCAACTCCACATAGTTTTCATATATGCACATTCTGATTGGTGATCTGAAAACTCCAGGGAATACCTTGGTGACCTCAGCAGCTCTGTGAAGAGCTTCCCTCCCCAGTGACCGCCACCTGCTATGCCCAACTCAGAGTCTGCGGGGCTTCCCTCTGGAATGGGACAGTGGCACATGGCTAAATAGTGACTCAGGATCAGACCGCTTGATCGAGTATGCTGTGTGACCTTGAGGGTGTGACTTCATTCTCAAAGCCTCAGTTTCCCAGCTGTAAAATGAATGTAATCTTAACAGCACATGTGGTGGTCAGGGTTGCATGGAATGATTCATGTAGGCCACTTCACTCCATGCCGGGCACACGGTAGCTGTTCCGTGAACACTTACTGGGCGCCCTCTGTGTGCCAAGCACTGCTGTAGGACAGGGGACCAGCAACTCCCTTGCTTCAGGGAGTTCACTCTCCACTGGGGGGCTGGTAATAAACAGATCCAAGATGAATACCATGAGTGCTCACAAGGAAGCAGGCGAGAGACGAGCAGGAGAGACCCTCCTTCCCCCAGTAAGGGATCAACGCTACCTGAGGCCTGAAGGAGGAGCACCCATGAGGAGTTATAGGACAGCAGATGTGAAGGCCCTGGGGCAGGGAGAACTTGGCATGGACAAGGGGACCAAAGAAAACCAAAGTGTGAGTGGAGAGGATGGCGGAACGGGATCAGCAGAGGTGGGCCTGGCTCAGTCCTGAGGGCCCACAGGCCCAGGAAGTCACTGGCTCTTAGCTCCAGGGCACTGAGAACTGAGAAGCCCCTAGTGGTTTTGGTGTGACTCTTAAGAAGATTGGAATTGAGGTGCATTGTCAAGGGGTCAGGGGAGGCTGTTATGGTCAGGGTGTCTGGCCGGATGGTCCACAGTGGTGATGCAGAAATTTGGTCTAGTTTGAGCTGTTTTGCATATCTAGTGGCACTCCTTAATAGGCTGGACTGTGGGAGGTATGGGGTGAATTGAGGATGACTGCTGAATCTTTTAATTAAAATTAATTTTTTTTTTAAAACTATGGTAAAATATACATAAAATTTTCCATTTGCACCATTAAGTGTTCAGTTCACTGGTGCTAAATACATTAATATTGTCCCTACCATCCATCTCCATAACTCTTTTCATTGTCCCAAACTGAAATTCTGTCCCCATTAAACAATAACTCCCTATTCTCCCCTCTCCCACCCACTGTCTATAGGTTCCTCATGTAAGTGCAATCACACAATGTCGGTCCTTCTGGGTCTTATTTTCCTAAGTCTCTCTGATGAGGCTTGCTTTATCATTTTTTGTGGGGGGTAGGGGTTCTGAAATCACAAGTTTCACATCAAATGTGGTAGGTTTGCAGTATCCAAGAGGGTCACCCAGTAGGGTTTTGAATATTCCTCAGCAGACCTCAGATAGGAGGTCTGGGCTGGGGGCTTCAATTTGGAGGGTGTCAATGTAGAGAAGAGACTGAAGTCCAGGCTCCCGTGGCATGGCTTAGAGGAGCGGTCTCAAACTCAGGGTTGTGGGGTTCATGTGGGAGGGAGTCAGCTATTGCTCCACTCCTGCTTTTTGTTGCCTCATAGGAAGGAGGGCTCTGTGTGGCCGTTCTTCACGTTTTATGAGATTTTTTTTGTGTAAGAGTTCCAATCTTGAAATGTTTGGGATTAAGTCGGTAGGTCCAGAACACAGGCGAGCCCTAGCCAGGAAGTAGAATCTGAGAGAATCAACAGACATTCATATAAAGGGCTGGAGCCGCCACATAGCTGTGACCAGGGATGGATGAGTGTGCAGAGAAGGGGGTCTGGAGTTAGCTGCAAGGGACAGCGGCCCCGCCAGGACTGGGCAGTGGAAGAAGGAGCAAGGGGTGCCCACAAAGCAAGGTGGAGAGGGAGGGAGCTTGGCTGTCGGTTGGGGTGGTGGAGGACAACCAGCACATGCCACACGAATGTTATTTCACCATTTCTAATTAAAATTGATGCTTCCAGAAGCAGAACTGGTCAGGGGTATGCAGGATGAGCCCTAGAGGCAAGGAGCCTGTTGGAATAATGCTACTCGGGTTTATGAGAGCCTTCAATCCACTCCTCCCAGCCCAGCTTCCTCCTGTTGTTCCTCTTAGGCATCTGTCCTCTGAGCCCCTGGCTGCTGGCCACCCTTTGCACCCCCTCCGGAGGTGACCATCCTTGTTCTTCTGCTCACCTCCTGAAACCACACTTGTGTCTGCTCACTGCTTCTCCTCTCCCTCCCGTCCCAGTGACAGGCTGCACTTGCTCCTCAGTCTGTGTCTTGCCCTGTCTTCCAAGTCCCTCCCTCCCACCATTGTTAATTAACCACGTGTGTTTGGTCTTCTCTTTCCCCCTCCCCCAGACTTGGAGACTAGACCAGACATGAAAGAATCGGACCCAAAGGAGGCCATTTTGGAAGACAGACCATCCATGGGGGTGGTCGTGGAAGGACCCACAAGGACTGGTGTCTGGGGTTCCGCCTCTGAAGGAGTGGGGACCCAGGGTGATCCGGTGGGGAGGCAGCAAGGGAAGGCAGGGACCTGTCCCAAGCGAAGGGAGCTCTCTCAGGACTTAGATCCCGCGTGTCTTGACTTTGAGGCATTCGTCAACCGAAGTTTCGGGCTGGTCCCACTGAGGTCGGAAGGGCTGGGGGGAGAGGGGACGCTCCCGGCCTCTGTGTCCCGGAAGAACTTTTCGGGTGCCGTGGGCCTCGGTCCCGGGGCCAGACTCTGTGCGGAGAGGAAACCCCACGAGTGCAGGCAGTGCGGCAAAGCTTTCGGCCGTAGCTCGTCCTTGGTGAAGCACCAGCGGATCCATAGCGGGTACAAGCCCTTCGCGTGCGACGTGTGTGGGAAGCACTTCATCGAGCGCTCGTCCCTCACCATCCACCAGCGTGTGCACACGGGGGAGAAGCCCTATGCGTGCGCCGACTGCGGCAAGGCCTTCAGCCAGCGCATGAACCTGGTGGTCCACCAGCGGACGCACACTGGGGAGAAGCCCTACGCGTGCACTGAGTGCGGGAAGGCCTTCCGGAAGACCTCGTCCCTGGCCCAGCACGAAAGGACGCACACCGGGGAGCGGCCGTACGCGTGCGGGGACTGCGGCAAGGCCTTCAGCCAGAACATGCACCTCGTCGTGCACCAGCGCACGCACACGGGCGAGAAGCCGTATGTGTGCGGCCAGTGCGGGCGCGCCTTCAGTCAGAACATGCACCTAACGGAGCACCGGCGGACGCACACGGGCGAGAAGCCGTACGCGTGCGGGGACTGCGGCCGCGCTTTCAACAAGAGCTCGGCGCTCACGCTGCACCGGAGGAACCACACCGGCGAGCGGCCCTACGCGTGCGGCCAATGCGGCAAGGCCTTCAGCCAGAGCGCCTACCTGATCCAGCACCAGCGCTTCCACAGTGGCGTGAAGCCCTTCGAGTGCGGCGCGTGCGGCAAGGCCTTCAGCAAGAACTCGGCGCTTACGCAGCACCAGCGCATCCACACTGGTGAGAAACCCTACGAGTGCTGCGTGTGCCGGAAGCACTTCGCCGGCCGCTCGTCCCTGCTGGTGCACCAGGTGGGCCACACCGGCGAGCGCCCGTACGCGTGCGGCCAGTGCGGCAAGGCCTTCAGCCAGAGCGCCTACCTGATCGAGCACCAGCGCATCCACACCGGCGAGAAGCCCTACAAGTGCAGCCAGTGCGGGCGCGCCTTCATCAAGAACTCCTCGCTCACCGTCCACCGCAGGGTCCACACGGGGGAGAAACCTTACAGGTGTAGCGAGTGCGGGAAGACCTTCAGCCGGAACACCAACCTTACGAGACACCTGAGGATCCACACCTAGGGCGGGGGCGGGGCATCCTGAGCACGTGCGTCGGTGCGAGAAGCTCTCACTGGGGGCCCTGGGGGACAGTGCTAAGGGAAGCCCTGCCAGAGGGGTCTCAGGAATATGGGCGTTGGAGACAAGCCCTGCCATCTACACCAGCGGCTTCCTTACTGAGTGTCCCCACGGCTGCAGTGTAAAGCAGCCACTACAAGTCTAGCATCTGGAGAAATGGTCACACTCTCTGTGGCTCTGGGAACCTAGGACCCCAAATTGTCCTAAGAGCTTCGACAATGGATTTCATGTTTCTGAGTCTTTGTTTCCTCAATAGTAAAATGGAGGAAGGGGAGAGGACTCAGTAAGTGAACATGAGGACGTTCTCCCGTTGTCACACACAGCCTGGATCTAGTCCAAAGATCAGGTTGTCACCACCTGTGAGATTCTTTGATGGTCTCCATTTTTCCCACACCCCACAACACCTGCTGGAAGTCCTTGGCCTAATAAGCAGTAGAACTTGGCAAGTCGTTCACAAGGAGAAAAACATTTTGTTTTTCAGAGTTAGCAAATGACAGTAATCACTTTGAATGCCAGAGTTTCTCATAGCAGTCTGTTAAATTTTTTAACTAAAACTGTAAGGGAGACCAATGTCATTTTAAACAGTCATCAGATGTGAAAGGTTCAGGTGCCGGTTGTCCTGTCAAAATCAGTGTCAACACTGGTGTGGGGAGGTGCCAGCTGGTGCATGGGTGCCAGCAAGCTTGATATCCATGTTTGAACACTTACTGGATTTATACATATGCAAATCTGAGCACAGAGCTGTCTGCTCTGTTATTTTTGCATGGAAACGTAAAGATAATTCCAAATGAGTTTCCTAAGGCCAACCCGAAGCTTCATTTCCACGTAGTTTCCCTCAGAGTCAACTTTCTCTGGGACTTTTTACACCACCTATTTTATTTTCACATTTGATGCTACTCATCACAGATGTCCTGGTGTTTCCAAATGTCCCATGCTTCCTGGCTTGGGTGTACATGAAGAATAAATCATTTAAGAAATCATTTATATCAGTAAACACATTTGTGTTGCAAGTAGGAAAATTAGACGATTGGGCACACATGACCAGGTGGGTAGGTTTTCGTGTGTCTGGACTTGGGTGGGGATCAGAGTGGGTTTGATCCAGGCTCATGGCATGAGTGCCATAGTTCTGGTTGTCAAGCTTCCCTCCGTGTGCCGGCCTGTGCTCAAGCTGTCTTCTCCCGTGTTTTCATGGTGGTTTCTAGCAGTTCCTCTCGACTGCACAGTTTCTCAGTCTCATCCAGGTGGGGATAGTCCGCCCCCAGTCATGGACAAAAAACCCCAAGTTTCATTCTGTTGGACTCACCCATGAATAGATCTCTTTCCCAGACGTGCCGTGCGCTTGGGTCTGGGTTCTGCCATTGTCCCTGAAGCAGTAACTGTGGAAGGGAATGGGGACGACTCCCCAGACCTCCCTGTGGCAAGGCATGGGGTCAATTCCACCCAGACCACAGTCAGAGGCAAAGTGGGATGATATGGGAAATGTTAACCCAAGGTTTAACATGGTTTAAAATCGGATGGCCGCTTGGATTTTGCCATGAAAGTGAGGTCTTGCTGCATGTGACATTTTCTTTTGGAAGTCCCATCATTGTCATGGTTGTCCCATGTGTCCTCTGTACCCTCTTAACATGTGGTGGGAGCAAGGCAGGAAGGGACCCTGGCCACAGGCCAAAGGGGTTCCAGACCAGCTGAGAGTTCCCCACTCATGTCTGCTTGTACCGACACGGCTACTGTGCCTTCATCCTCACACTTCATTCCTTTAGTCAGTACAGATGTCAGCCAGACTGCCTGCTGGGAGGATGGCTGCGAGATTTATAAATTTTGTAGTGACTGGAAACCACGGTGGCATGTGTGAGGACTTTGTGATGAGTGATGACACATGAAAGGTGGTTGGAAGGAAGGTGAGCGCCAGCTGTGTGACCCTGAGCATGTTTCACGTAACCCTCTGTGACATGGTTTCATCTTTAAAATGGGGCAATGAGAGTCAATGGGTAGGTTAGTCATGAAGGCAAGTTACTGTCACAAGTGGACCCAGCAACACAGAGCCTTAGAGAACAAAGCCCCTCTCCCTCTCTCTGTCTCTCTCTCTCTGTCACTCTCTCATTCTCATACAAAAAGAAAAAAAAAACAATTCCTCTCCACGTGATCACTTAGGACCCATGTTCCTTCTATCCCAACGCTATGCCGTCCCCCGGGAACGCCCTTGATACAGGGCTAGTCAGAGTTTTGCCACCAAGTTTGTGTCCCTGCTAGCAGGCTGAGAGAAACAGCCTGGAGTGTTTCTCCTGCTCACATTTTGTTGGCAGCTGTCTGCACTCAAATCTATGTTGGGTCTGGGAAATGTTGTCTGGATTTGTGTCCGGGATGAAGGGGGATGACAATTCAGCCCTTCTCTGACAGACCTGTTGCATCAGATCGAGAAGGGGCAGGAGAGACAGGTCATTTGATAAGATGCTACTGCTCCTTCCATGCCCTGCCCAAGTCTTTCATAAATCAGGTCAGGAATGGACAGAGAGGGGAGGGGTGAGGCGGGAAGGGATGTCAGCTCCTATGTCACTCATTGCCACCTGGTCCCTGGGAAGCTGGGGTGGGACGGGGGTAACTGAGACCTTGGGCAGACACAAGCCCAGGGGAGCTCCAGAGGCCCGGTGGCCACTCATCCAACAGCATTTACTGAGCACCTGGATGCAGTTCTGGAAGCTGGCGATGGGGATTCAGCACCAAGTAGAAACAGTGAGCTTCCTCCTTGGTGGAGCTTACATTCTGGTGCTGGGGACAGATGCTAAATGAGGCAGCTGAGCATGAAATAACAGTGTCAGGCCTTAGAGCCAGGTGCAGCACAGGCTCTCAGGTTGGGTGGTCGGGAAGCTTGTCAGGAGTGGACATTTGGACAGAGGCTAAAAGCAGTCAGGGGCAGTTCACGATCAGGTGGGTGGAATTCATCTGGAAGGCTCCAGAAGGCTTGGTGCAAGGTTCACACCATGTTTCATAAGGGGGTGGGAGGGAACACCTTATCATAACAGTTAACATGTATTACCTAGGAGTGCAAGGACTTTACACAAACAGTCATTTTTGTTTTGTTTTGTTTTGTTTTGTTTTTTTCATATCAATGGACAGGGAAGATCAGACAGCTGGGAAATGATGGGCCTGGGATTGGAGTATGGGACTGCATCTTAATGTTATTAAGAAAGTCATAAGGGAGAAGAAATACACTTACTGTATTTATGGAAAAAAAATCCATGTATAGGCATCCCTATGTTCACTGCAGTGCTATTTACAGTAGCCAAGAATGTAAGCAACCTAAGTGCCCATCAATAGACAATTGGGTAAAGAAGATGTGGTACATATATATAATAAAATATTACTCAACCATAAAAAGAATGAAATCTTACGATTTGCAACAACATGGATGGACTTGGAGGGGTCTGTGCTGAGTGAAGTCAGAGAAAGTCAAATACCATGTGATCTCACTTATACGTGGAATCTAAAGAACAAAATAAATGAACAGATAGAACAGACACAGACTCATAGATACGAAGAACAAACTGATGGTCACCAGATGCGAGTGTGGTTGAGGAGCTGGGTAAAAAAGATGAAGAGATTAAGAAGTACAAACTGGTAGTTACAAAACAGGGGGATGTAAAGTACAGCATAGGGAATATAGTCAATAATATTGTAATAACTGTATATGGTGCCAGGGGGGTACTAGACTAATCAGCGATCTCTTCATAAGGTGTATAAATGTCTGCCCACTATGCTGTACACCTGGAACTAAAAGTAATATTGAATGTCAACTCTAATTGAAAAATAAAAATTTTTAAAAAGGCAAAATCCACGTATAAGTGGACCTGTGCATTTCACACCTTGTTGTTCAAGAGTCAGCTGTACTCAATAATCAGTTGTGGCAAGTACACGCATTATTGTTACTGCTACAGCCAGAGACCATGCCCTCATTCTCTAAATGAAGGAAAAGAGGCAGGATAATGGAGCCAGGAAGAACAGAGGAACTGAAGCCAGACCCCTGCGTTCAGCCCCAAACTCTAACCTTACTTGCTGTGTGACTTTGGGCAAGTTGCCTAACCTCTCTGAGTATCAGGGTGTGTGACAGGGAATTGTACATGTCAACTTGGAGTTGTAGGTGTCAACAGGAGTCTAGGGGTAGCTGTGAAGATGACATCTACTAACAGCTGACTTTAAAGATTATTTTTGATAATGTGGGTGGGTCTCACCCAATCAGTTGTGGACTTAAGAGTAAAAGCTGAGGTTCCTCAAAGAAGAAGGAAATTCTACTTTTATAGTATCAACTCATGCTTGGTTTCCAGGCTCCTGGCCCGCCCTGTGGATCTTGGACTTGCCAGAACCATAACGTCAGGAGCTAATTTAAACAAACAAGTAAGTAAAATCTATAGAACTTGCACATAAATATACTCGAATATACATACTTATATATCTATATTTAATGTGTATATATATGTAATATCTAGTATATGTATATAATAGGATATATAGGATATGTATACATAATATATATACAAAGTATATAATAGGATATATAAGTAAAATATATAACAAGATAGAGACATGTAATAGGACATGAGATTTATAATAAGACATATCCGTGTAAAGGAAGATGTAGCTTGTTTCTCTGGAGCACCCTGACACTGTATAAGGTCCCCATTTAAACATGTCCTTCTCTGATCGCACTCTGAAATTGCAGCCTCCGCCCCATATTTCTCCAGTGTGCAAACCACAGTCCATCTCCATACTGATCTTCTTTCTTTGTCACCTTTTTCCATCACTAGAATGAGGACAGAGCTTTGGACCTTCTCGATGTGGCTCACTGGTGTTTCCCCAGGACTTAGAAGAGTGTGTGGCATACAGCAGTGCCCAGTAAGCATTTGCTGAATCAGTGACTCAGCAGTAGGCACTCAATCAATGCTAGTCAACTGGATTGAATAAGCAGCAAGTCTTCCCAGGCACCAGTCCATTGCATTCCAGATTTAACATACCCGCTGGAGACCGGGCTCTGACTTGGATCCTTCAGCTACATATCCACAGCCCCCTGGAATGGGAAGGCAAGGTGAGCAGGCTTAAGATCTGCTGGTCTGCATCCTCTAGTGGGCTCTGGGGCATAGGGGGTGCCTTGAGTTGTGAGATGTCTGATACCTGCCACTGGGGGGATGGGCTGCAGTGTGAGAATCTGACAGCGGTGGATGAGCTGTGGGCTTGGGATGGGTTGGTTTACATTTGAAAAACACACAGGTTCTTGGTTTTCTGTCTCTAGGAATTAGCCAGCCCTGGGAGAGGCAGTCTCCAGGGTCAGCAAGGCTCCAAGATGTCAAAGCCTCAGAAAATAAAAGGTGAGGTTAATACACAGTCGCCGCAACTCCAGAGAGTTTGCAGATGGCTCCCTGCCAGCCTTTGGCCAAGCGGCAGCGCCAGGATACTCTGGCTGGGTGGAGGTGGCCCTTCCTTTTATTATTACTTGTCTGGATGCTGTCCCATTGTGGGAGACCCCACTGGAACCCTAGGAACTGAGCTCACCTGCTCTAGAATATGAGGCCACTTGCCCCTCATGCCCCGGATTCCTGGCCTGGGAATGGTCAACCGGGAGGCTGGGCCCCTACCCATAGCCTCAGAGCCAGGGAGAAGGCCTCTTTGGCAGAAATCCAGCAAGATGGCGGGGAACCCCCCAGGAAGGGCTGTTTCAGAGTTACAGGAGAATGGTGCTCCCTCAGATCACAGTCTAATCCTGCTGCCCATATGTTGGATGGAATTCTTGTGAAAATAAAGTGCTTTCAGTCAAGCAGGCACATTATCCAATATATACTTCATTTGTAGCCTTAGTAATATTTTTACTTATTACTTTATTATAGATAAGTGCTCTAATATCAATAATAAATATAATGATGGTGCTCTATTATTGTCAATAATAAAATAATACATAAAATATTTGTTAATAAATGAGTAATCAATTACTACTCAGAGCACTATTATCCAGATTTTCAGCTGAGGAACCGAGGGCTCAGAGCTACGAAGCTGAATAGCTAGACTTTTTATGTGCAATGTCTCTGTTTCCTGGGCTCAGTGGTTCCCAAGTTCAGTCACTGGTGTTGCCACTGACCAGGTAGTGATCACTGAGCAACTCTGCACCTCCCTGTCACATGCAGATGATGCCTGCCCTCCCACACAGGGTGGAGGAAATGGGTGAGGTCACAGACATGGGTCAGCACAGACCAAATACAGCAACAAACCCCACAGGCCTAGGATGCTATTCCAGCCAATCAGCAAGAGCATCTGCTCCACCCAGTGACTCAGGAGTCCAGGCCCCCTCTAGGGGTTGGCCTCCAGAAAAGGGCAAGTGGCAAAGGCCTAACCTTTCCTGGACCGTCCCTCCCCTCACTCTCTGTGCGGTCCACACCCCTCCTAGATGCAACTAGGAAATGTAGCCTCCAGCAGGATGGCTGCATCCCAGGACCAACTCCACACCAGGAAGAAAGAACAGTGAAGAGTTCAGGGGGCGCTGGCCCTCCTTGACACCCAAATAAAGCACAAGGTGGTGCTCAGTTTATGCTTGCCAAACCATGTAGACATTGCTACAGTTATAAAGGTCCAATTTCTAAACATTTGAGGATGTAGATTGGACATGTTCCTCCAAATTCACATGTTGAAATCCTCATACCCAGTGACTTCAAAATGTGACTGTATTTGGAGATAGGGCTTTTAAAGGGGATGATTAAGGTCAAAGGAGTTTGTATGGATGGCCCCGGATCCAATGCTGGTGTCCTTATGAGAAGAGAGACACCAGTGGTGCACCAGGCACAGAGGGACAAACACATGAAGCAGCGAGAGGGTGGCTGTCTGCAAGCCAAGAAGAGAGACCTCAGGAGAAACCAACTCTGCCAACACCCTGATGTTGGACTTCCAG